CTGACGACGAGGATTCCAGCTGGGGCGAAGATTACCATGCTGGTTCGGATGACGACGAAGATGACGAGGTAGATTCCCAGTCTTCGTTCAGATCCAATGCAGAACAGTCCCATGAAGATGAGGAGTCTGTGAGATCGAGAAGCCTTCATGTTCTGGGGATTCGCGACTTGATAGCATCAGAGGCGAGCTATGCTGTGGAGGAAACAAATGCCCGCTTGCCATGTGGAAATGATACATCCAGGCCCGAATTTAACGATCGACATGGGGAGGATATGGCATGTGACGCTGAGACGTGTGAGCCGGAGTTGCTCGCCGTTAGGAATTCCACATCAGATCTGCGTTCTCAGAGCACTGGCCCTTCCAGAATAATTTCGACCGAAGCTCCACCGCCGCCAATCTTATTGCAGCCAACTCTATCTTCTCCATACGGAAAGACAGTCGATCGTTCGCTACCTAGCTACCAGAATAATCCTCCAATGATGCACATGGACTGGTGGAATCCACGAACCACTGCAAACACTTCATACTCCCTGCATATCCCCCCAACTCCGCAAGTGCCTTACGCTGACGGACCCTTTGTCAACAACGAGTCGTTCCTGCTTGGTGAGACTGATCCTGCTTGTAACCGTGGTAATGATTCAGTCATTGCTTCTATGGCTACCCCTGGGATTGTAAGCCAGGAAGCAGCTTCGAGCGACGGACAAGAAATCCAGGAGACACCCATGCCTCAGAAACAGCCAGATGCCATTCCAACACCATTGCCACAGATGCAAAGGTCCGAGATAGGATTAGATAGCGTTCCCGCAAACAAGCCACTGAAAAGGAAGGCGGAGGAGATTGATGGCTCGTCTGGGAGTTCCGAGCTAGACGTTGCTACTTATCATCGAGACGGGGTTGACTCAGCTGTGACAAGCGCTAGCCAATCGTCTGACCAAGAGACTTGCTATCCGGATGCTCAGCCACAGATGCCAACGGACCAACAGGAAATTCCATCCCAGTTGGCAGACTTAGACAGTGCGAACGAGCTGCCGTCAGTTGACGACCCCATTAATGATGCCGAGACGACCGCACCTCCTACAAAGCGAGCAAAGACTTCTAGTACGGGGAGGTTTGCCAGCCATGCTGCAAGTGCTGCTTTGGGTGTAGCCATCGGTGCTTTCGGTACTATCGCTGCGTTGGCGTCGCTCCCCCCAGATTACTTTGAGTAAAGAACAGGAGTTGTCCCGGAATTGGCCATTCGCTTTGGAAACTATGCGCTTCTGTTATGAAACACGGTGCTTATGAACCACACCGAGTACGTGGTGCTATCGGCGTTCTCTTCTCATACCTTTCCGAATTGGGATATGGCGGGTGCTGCTTCTCTGTCTCTCTTCGTTTTCTTTCTATCTTTCTTTCACTTTTCCTATGTTTGGTATTTGGGCGTGTTTCTCGCTGTTTTCTTATCTTCCTGCTCTGATGGGCTTCTTCAGAACCGAGGTACAACCAGCCAGCCCCCGCAGACCTGGATGTAATTATTGTTCTAGCAAATAATACAGCCAGTTCTTCCGATGGCACACTAGTCGGTGTTGTTCCGGGGTGGATGAGACGGGCCAATGTAACCACGGCCGCAAGGCAGGCTCTTCTCGCTCTCATGATCGGTGGGCCGGCTTTTAGTTATGACCGGGGGGTCATACTGGTTCTTTCTGCTGAGTGGAGCTTATTGGCCTATTGGCCTATTGGATTGGTGACCGCCATGAAGTCGACCATGACCACCACGTCGGCGCCTCTATCAAGGCTTGTCGTTCGTTACTTTCTCCTTCTCTGCCTTTCTCTTTCCGTCTCTGCATTTTCCTCTTGATCCTGATCTGCCGTAGAGGAGCTGCCACCGCTTCTTCTTCCCCACCTCCCCTCCCCTCCTTTACTTCCCCTCATTGTCGGGGTCGTCGTACACCCAGAGTAGAACTTATCATTGAAGGGCAATAACCAGGTTGAAGGTGTCCAGCCGTTCGGCCGGCCAAGTTGCCGTACGTCACTCTTTCTTCCTCCTCCCAGCTTTGCTTTTCTCTGTACAACAAACGGTGCCTCCAGCAGCAGTTCCACTCCGTCAAGCGCGCGAGTCGCATCCAGTTTCCCTCGGTAGTGTCCCTGTCCCGTGGCCTTGCCTTGAGTTCAAGGTTGGAACTCCTTCGCCTACCCTGCTTTTGCTTTTTCTCCTTCCAGGGATCTGTATCCCAGCCAGCACTTTTCCTGTGACTCGGGCAGGTTAACAATGGCCACGATTATGTGCCCTAATAAAATTCCAAGTTGGGTCCTCAGTCGTGCGCGTGATGCCTGCCGGATACTTGCAGCTCACCGACCATTGATCTGATTGAGACCCGACTTTGCCGTCCTCCACTCCTACCTTACCTGTAAGCCACCCACCCTTGCATATTTTCTTCTTTCTGGTTTTCATTTCATTTCATTTCTTTGTCCATAAGTCTCTTCTGTTTCCCTGGCTGTGGGATCCACCCGTGACCGAGACAGAAATGGACCACATGGATGGCATTGTCACTGGGTTTCTTAGCCATCCTTCGCCTCGGTCTAGAATCCCTGAGTAAGGGCAGATTGGTCCCTTTAAGACCACTAGGGCTCAAAAGTACGTGTTCCGTACTCCGTACCTGCGGCAGGAGCATCAAAGTCAGGCAAGTTTCCCGCCATGAACTGCGTGAGTTCCAACCGCAGTTCGAATCCCATAATATGGACAGGGATTCTTATAACATGTGACCAATCCGCAGACGCAGGCCACTCAAAGAACCTCCAGGATCTTCGGCCATTGGTCCAGGCAAGAAAATTTCCTTTGCCTTTTAAAGAGGACGACGCAAGATTAATGCCCCAAAAGCCGAGCAATCATCGCTGCACTGCGGTTGCGATGGAATCGCCATCTCCCTTTTCTTTCCCCCCTTGAGAAGTGAGAACCGGATACCTGCAGAAATCGGGAATGGACTGCCACTTGCGAGGCGCGGAAATTACGGCCTGCAAAATTCACTATCTGATCGTCCAGTAATCTGCTATTCTCATTTGTTCCCTCTCCCCGTGATTATTCCTTCTCATTTTATTTTTATGTTTTATTTATTTATTTATTTTCTTTTTATTTATTTTCTTTTTCTTTCTTTCGAGGGCGCTTGTCCGCGTGTCCTCGTGCCTCTGCAGTTTCATGGCTCCCGTCACACTGTGCCCATTGTTCACAGGCACGCATGAATAAACCTCCCCTTCCTCACTCTTCGCGGGTTTGACTCGCTATTTCTTCTTTACCTTCCTCAGTCACCATATGCCCTACACTTCAGGGGATAAGAAGACAGCTTTTAGCGCATGGGCAGTGGCGCTGCCGCTAAATTGGCCTAAACGCCGCACGACCGTTACTCCATCGCTTGCGGGCACATTGGAAGGCCCACGGAGTATTCCGCCTAGAGTATAAGCTGAGGCGTAGCTTACAGGGCCACAGAGTTAGGCAGAAAGTGTCAAGACTATCCGAAGCCTATTCATGTGCCATGAAATGATTGGGTGGACAGCCCGACTGAGACGCAGCTTCGTGCATGGAACACCCTACGACTATACCAACATATAGGGAGAAGCCCAGGGTGAACTCAAGGCATACGGTATTGACGAACGTCGATGACTCTGTATGGCTGCTAGTCCAGTGTCACTACGACCACAACACATCGCTGGAACAAAATTCCGCGTTATCAGGATATGTTGCCAGCCATGATCGTGTAAGTGCGTGTCGCACTGCGCTTATCCGTTATGGGAGGTCAGCGAAAGGCTTAAAGGGCCACGTCGCATTGAAGGCAGTTGACCTGGGATGCTTGCCGAGCTTAGCGATTCTTGTTAGTCGCGTAACACAATTTTCCGTGGCTGCCATGCTTCTGGGTCTTGTATCCCGCCGTATAACATTTCCGGCTTCTGCTTGGTCACATACTCGAGCCTGAACCGACGTCTGTATTTTCGACTAAGCGCACCATGCAGCCGTAATCACCTATTCGGTCGCCCAATCAATGATAATCGAGATCCATCATTGTCCGATACGCTTGGGCAGGTCGTGCATCTAGGCACCTGGTCTGGTTGGCAACGGCCGGCACAACGCCCATAAACTGGACCCGGCCCTATGGATCAGGAATGCAGAAAAGGCTCCACTGGGGCGCGGAGTCTTTCCTTAAAGGAATCGGAGGAGTTGACACGCCCGACAGGCACATTCTGCATCTCCTCAGGTGGCCTGGGGCTGTCTCTGCGGCCCCTTCATGATCCTGGGACCATGCCGCACCGCCCGGTCTCATGTTATTGGTGCGGCATATCAAAAATAAAAAATCTCTGGATGTGACTGAGTCTTCGTGCCTTGAATTTTGCTCGGAAGATGAAATCTTGACAGATAATTTGACGTTGCTGATACGAAGTGGTCTTGACTCGAGAGCTGGTAGCACACATCGATGACCGAATGAGTCTTACAGTTCCCGTCCCCCGCGAGCTTGCCCTTGGCACTAAGCAGGGAGCGGGATGATTTGACTGAAGCAATTCGCCTTTGCTTTTTTCTTTCTCATTACCTTCCTATACGGGAATCTTCGCCGATTCTATGTCTCATCTTGATGATTGATAAGCCCCATGGCCCCCCTACAAATACTGTGTTTGGTCATGGGAAGTAGCATATCCGACTCTTGATTTTTTCTCTCTGTCCGATCAAAGTATCAACCCTCTCTAAGGTTGTGGAACCAGTTTCTGAGCATAGCCTATTCTTGGACTACATATTACCATCTCGTCCTCGTTCCTGAAGACATGTCTCATCAAGCCGGACTAATGTATCAACGAGACCCGGGGCATACCTCCTGCATTGGGGGGCGGACAGTGGTGACATGCCGAAGCTGTGCGGGAAACGCACCACGGTCAGTCGACGCATCCAATCATTCTTGGATCGTGTTGCCAATGCTAATCGGGATCAGAAACTCCGTTTGTAGTAGCTGCAACGGCCGTGGGTTTAATGTCTTCATATGTCCTCACTGCAATCCGGCCGCTGCGGCGGCAGCGTTCAAGGGCTCTGCTGGATCATCACAAGGCACCACACCGAATTCATCTGTCCCTGCTTCGCCGTCATCTCTGAGCAGGAGCTCGTCCACCTTATCCTCTGATACCAGGCCTATTGGGAATCGAAGGCGGTCGGGGGACAGCGACGAGAGCTCTTCAGGCGGACACGTCGGAGCAGGGACTAATTCACCACGGACGGTATAGAGTATTCTTAGGGACGTCGGAAAAAGGGCGCTGGTCGCCCGTGTGCCCAGTTGGCTTTCGGACACTCATTTGACTGCTTACATGTGTTGCGCTATCGTACCCTTTTTGATTTATGAAGGACCATAAGGACGGGTCTGCGGGGGTTTCCTTTTTGGCGAAGTGCAGGCGCATCAGGACATAGAGGAAAGCATGGCCTTCCATGCAGGAAACCTGTTGAGGATTTTCAATTGCGCACCATGTCACGATAGACCATCGTCGTCGCACTTCGTTTCAATGTACTTACTGTTTCACGCCAGATACCAATAGGGAAATGAATTGCCAGATGCTTGGATGGAGTGACGTCAGCTCCCGGGGTGAGTTCTCCCGAGCTTCTCTCCATGTTGGATTCAGGACCATTGGTTTGCCTCGGATGCGAAGAAGTGCAAGGGTCATTTTATTCGCCCCCGCCACACTCCTCTTGAATTAATCTAAGGAACCATTTTCGCTACGTCTGTGTCACTCCCACCCCCGGATATCCCGGCCTCCACCCATTCCACGGCATATCCGACAGCCGGCAATGAGAGTCTGGAGTTTGGGGCAAGACGCGAGGACGATCACTCCACCTCAGGTTCCGAATGCTGTTTCCCCCAAAAACCTATATGTAGGAACCATGACCGCCCCTGAACTCAAAATCTGCTTGTCCTTTCTTTACTCATTAAGTAACGCTCTGATTTTCCTACAACATGGCCTTGTCTTTCACTGAAAAGCCCCCGCAGGGGAGGGTTCCTTATGCGATCCCGCAATTGGAGGGTGAACGCATCACGATTCCGGGGAGCAAAGGAGCCTTTCGTATCCTGGCTTCCTCTAAGCAGACCAATGGCCTCATGGCTGTCTTTCAGAGCGGGGCTGTTCTTTCAGACGCCCCGGGCTTTCACTATCACAACCACGCCCACGATGTCTTCCTGGTGACCAAGGGCTTCTTGAAATTATGGAATGGAGACAAATGTCGGATAATGGGGCCTGGGGATTTCGCTTATGTCCCTCCTGTATGTCAGATGCTATTTGCTATGCTGTATTTCCTGTCCTCCCTTTCTTCGCTCACGCTTGACTCTCCAATGTCCACTACAGACTGTGGTTCATAACCCGGAACTGCTGGGACCACACACGGAGACCTACGGCGTCGTCACTCCCGGCGACTGGGTCGACTTCTTCCGCTACGTGTCCGAGCCTTATGAGGGTATCCTAGTTCCCGAGAACGACGATCGCGACCTCAAGGCTCTGTTAATACCCAAAGTGATGGCTGCGAAGCAGGACTTTGACGTCGTGTTCCAACCACACTACCAACCTCCTGCACTAGGGGAGTGGAGTGCAGATGAGGAGAAGCTCCCCGAGTCGTCACAACCATATTTCCTGCGCGCCAACACGGGTCCCAAATGGATGCTGGGAGGTGTCATGTCCCGCCCGTTCATCACCACCCGTCAGAGTCAGGGTGTCTGCGCTATTTCCAGCATTGAATCCTCCAAGACCTACGGCGAAACTCTACTTTCTAAATTCTTGACCTTCCAGTCGGTAGATCACTGTCTATGTGTTCAGGAGGGGACATTGACCGTCCAGCTGAAGGATGGCCCCGAGTCAACTTTCCGCGAAGGAGAGACAGTTGTGATCCCGGCCGGTCAGGCGTTCGCTCTAAGATTTGCCAGTCGGTATGTGCGGGTCTGGTCATTTACCGATGGCGATGGCATTGAGACTTTGATCCATCGGTTGGGCACACCATTCGAAGGTGCTGTTCTACCTGACCAAGCGCCGGAGTGGAACCCGGCGGAGGTTGGGTCTGTAGCGTCCGAGTTGAATGTGACCATTGAACTCTAGAGGGGAGAGAAGGGGGAAGGGGGAAAGGGTGGATGACGTGGATGCATGAACTTAGCGTGGCTCAATTGAGCCTTGTGACGACTATTGGAACTGGAACTATTAGCGATACCTGTCATGCTCTACCTTATTTGTATTAGTTAGTTAGAAAAGTGGAAAGGAATCGTATCCATTTCATTTAATTTATTTTTTTCATCTGCACCCCGCGGGGACCCCGCAGAGGGCTCCCACGTGATGCTGACGGTCGGAAATCCCGGCCGAATCTCCCTTTCCAACTTCATCCTTTTTGCGATTAACTTCGGCCTCTACTACGATCGACTACTTTCCCCCTATCTTCAATTTGCCTCCACTCTTGTCCTTATAGTTCGTTTCGGATACATACCCCAGTTTTCCCTATGTCGTCTACCTTCGTCTAGATGGATGATGGATGAGTCGCCCCCCATTCACACCGCGGGTGATGATTCTCTTCCCCCGCCGCGGGCCAAACGCCCTCGCGCTGCACAAGCATGCGACCGCTGCAGGGCCAAGAAGTACAAGTGCGACGAGCAGTATCCCTGCGCGCACTGTAAAAGTATGCCGTCTATCGCGATAAGCTGTCCCATCCTGAACTAACCTCCTTTCTAGAAAGCCAACTCAATTGCGTCTATCAGGGGAATTACCGTCAACGCGAAAGCAGCAGGTCTGCACGGTATGTATATCATATTTCGTTTACATAGTATTTAGCTAGTTCGTGTCTTGGTATTTGCTGACATATCAGACAGATACGTCGCTGATCTAGAGCGCAAAGTAGACGAGCTTACGGCCCGACTAAGATTGGCAGAGGCGGACGTTACGTCCCAGCACTCCTCACGGTCCCAGAAGATAGTAGTACAACCAAGCTCTGGACCCAAGCAAGCTCCTCCTCCCCCAGTGGGCGTTGAGGCGACTCCATTGTCGCTGCCTCGCGCTGCATCCACGCCGAGAGAAGATGCGCCTTTCATTTACGAACACCATGACGAAGCTGGGGAGTCGGTAGGGGATGAAATCAGCGAACTGAACCACCACACCAACGGTATCGAATTTCACGGCAGCACTTCTTCGACGGCTCTCCTCGGTCATCTTCAAAAGGCCCGGGAACCGCAACGCTCCTTGGAGCGTCGGGACGCACGTCTCGAAGATCCGGGATATTCGATCGTCTCGACGCTGCATAACTCCAGCTTTTCACCCTCGGGTACCGGCTCCGCCCAGCCCTTGACATTACGGGAACAGAATTATTACTTTGAGCAGGCTCATGCATTTATCAACGGCTATTTTGAGAATATTCATTTCATTCATCCTCTCATTGATAAGGAGGACTTTTTGCTTCGGGCGCACAGTCTATGGTTCAATCGTGGCGTTCAGCCGGAGCCGAGTTTTGTTGCCTTGTATCTGAGTATCCTCTCGTTCGGGGCCTTGGTGCGGGTCTGGGATGAGGACAGGCTGGGTGGACTGACCCGATTTGAATGGAGCAGGAAGTTGTTTGGGGAAGCTCAGATGTACCTCAACTACCTGCAGTTCTCGAATACTCTGGATACGGTGCAGTGTCTATACCTTATGGTATGAGATCTTTTCTTCCTGGACGAAATACGGGCTGACCTTGTCTAGGCTAAAATTTGTCAGAACGAGCTGAATCCGAACTGTAAGTAAACTACTTCGCTACTTGCTTTTGCGACTGATAAGCTGACATGTCTTAGTGGCGTACATGTACCTGGGACTGGCTATCCGTACATGTCTAGCTGCTGGGTTCAATCGTGAGGTGCGCAGTTCGACAGAGCAACGCTCGGAGTGGATTTCAAAGACGTGGTGGTAAGTTCGTGCCCTGCTTGGATAGAGCTCACGCTAACCCTGGCAGGGGACTGTTCTCTTTGGAGATGTAAGTCTTTCTGGACATCCGGTTCAGTCACGATCCTAACCACACCAGTGAAATGAGCTTTTCAGTAGGCCGTCCGGATACTCTAGGCATGGATGAGTACCACAACCGGGCGCTGCCTGAGAGAGACGACTCTGAGTACGCTGTTATCCCATGGATGGTGGATTTTGCATACATCATCCGCAAGGTGTCTGTGCAGATATATCATTCGCGTATCACGTTACAAGAGAAGCTGCATCTCGCACTCCAAATTGAAAATGAGCTAGACCGATGGATGGCGAGACTGCCGGACAGGATCAAACCAGACATTGTTCAACGAGCAACAGGAGGAGCGTTGAGAGATCCGAAATGGGCACGAAGGCAACGCTTAGTGCTCGGTATTCGTAAGCCCCCTCTTGCACGTCCTGATTATTTGTTTCAGGGACAGTCACTAAACCTTGCCGACCAGGCTACTACAACGTGAAGATGCTCCTGTTCCGACCATTCCTCAGCTACTTCACACGCAAATTACGACATACCCCTATGGAACTAGAAGAAACGATCGCCAAATGTCTCGACGCGGCAATGAAAACCATCCAAGTCATTTACGATATCTACCGAATTCACACATTCTTCCGCTGCTGGTACGCCTGCCTTATACCTCATCCTATACCCTCCCATCCATACCCCGTTTAACCCAAAGTTAGGTGGTACAACACCACGTATGTCATGTTCGCCACGTCCACCCTCCTCCTCCCCATGTCAAAACTGGGCATGTGCGCCGAAACCATCCCGCTCCGCCGCTCCGTTGAAATGGCCGTCGAGATCCTCGAAGCAATGGACGAATCCGTGGTGGCGCGTAAATCTGTCGAAATTATCAAGCACTATTTGCGAGAGTTCCGGCCCATCGATGTTCAATCCGCTACCACACCATCCAGTAGCAACGATGGAACCAAAATTGCCGACTTTACTACTGACCCAGGAGCTGCTGCTGTTGCATCTGCTTCGGGTACTGCCCAGACAGGATTTGATATTCCGGTATGGTTTTTCAATCTTTCAACCCGCTTCATGTACAAATGAGAAACAGAATTGCTAATGTAGGGGGTATAGGAATGGGCATATGGCTTCGGCTTCCCGGATTGTTCCTTCGAAGGGATCGCTAGACTGTTCGATGATTTGGGAGGGTTGCCGATGTTGGATGGGTGACTATGTATTACTACTATATTTTACTATGTGCTATGCAATTCAATTGGTGGGTTAAGGGGGCTTGGGGGGTTGTATAGTGGGGTTGACTTGTATATAGCTAGTTGGTGGAATTGATAGATGACTTCATGCTCTACTGTAGATATCTAGACCCGTGATAACCTACGGATACTAGTCTGCTAAAAGCGTTCAGTTCATGCAATATAAACAAGACGAAAAGTGAACTTCCGACTTCGTCAGTCTGCTCTACTCCACCAATAAAATCGAGACATAAATAGTAATTCCACACCCTATACTGTATCTATACCCAACTAAAACACCATTCTATAGATGCGAAGTAACCCCCCTCCTCTTACTACTACCAGTACTACCACCACCAAACAACCCCGGATTCTGCTCCACCACATTCTCCACCTCCTTAATCGCATCATATCCATAAAGCCACGGTTGTACTTCAGGACACGTCCTACACATCATCGTATTAGCGTATCCTTACTTTCTTAAACCCCCTACTTCTACTTCCCAAACCAGAAGAAGAGGTGGTGGGGGAGGAATAAGTAATAGTACGTACCACCGACTCGGAAAAGCCCCTTTGAGCTCCTTCCCCAGCTGAGAAAGGAACAGCTGGTCTCGTTTCTCTTGTTCGGGGCCGTCGTGCATGTGGAAGTCGTTTCTCTGTTTATTTACACATTCCTGGTTAGTATATCTGTGCTTTCCTGGGGGTGGGGTAGGAGTTGTATGTGGATGACTAACCTGCTTGAACGTCTCCCTCACGATAGCTTCACCTCGAGACTTGCGTAGCTTCTCGTATAAACGGAGGATAGCGGGCAGGTCGGATTTGTGTTTCATGTGGCCGAGGAGACCGCCGAGGACGGCGCCGTCTTCGAGCGATGAGTTGGCGCCTTGCGCGAGGTAGGGGAGCATTGGGTGGCAGGCGTCGCCGCTGGAGGGTTTGGTTTGGTTGGTTAGTTGGTGGGTTGGATTGGGGTGGGGATGGATGGAGTACGTACATGAAGACGAGGTTGGATTTGTCGTTGATCCAGGATTCCATTTCGGCGTCTGAATCGATCGAGTTGGTTAGTAAATGACAGGGGGATCGGGTTGGGGTGGTGGCGGTGTACTTACGGTGCATGAGTTTCCATTTGTCAACGCCGTTCACGTAGCCCAGGAAGCGGGTTAAGCTGTACTATATCAGTTTTTTGGGGATCATTGAAGTGGTTTTGGTGGGGGGAGGAAGCAAACGTACACTGGATCCCAACCCACGAATAAGCGCATCATTTCGTCCAGCGAGCCGGTCTGTCGAGATACTCCCGGGGGTAGATCATCCGGTACCAGGAGAACAATATTCATCATCTTCCCTCCGCGTAGGGAGTACCCTACTGCATGTGCCCCGGGTCCGATCCAGAAATGTACCGTCGGGTTCTCTACCCAAGCTTTCAGGTCCGGGTCTGAGATCTGGTCTGCCGTTAGGACGATCCGATACGCCAGATCTCCCGTGGGAATGGGGTCGTCTTTTCGCCCGCAGTAGCATTCCCGACAGCGGGACCAGAGTCCATCTGCGGCGACGATTAGATCCCCGGAAACAGTTCTGCCGCTGAGGGTGGTGACGGTAGTAGTATCGAAGTCAATGGTGTTGACTCTCTCGTCGAGATGGAAGGTCACGCCGAGCTCCTTGGCTCGCGCGTATAGTGCTTGTTGCAGGTCTACGCGGTGCAGGTCGATGAAGGGTGCGGAGTACTTGGAGCGGATATTCCGATTGAATGATTCTTCATGGGCGAGGACTTCGCCTGTGTAGCGGTGCACTGTTAAGGAAGTGGGCTCTGCAGCGTCGGTCCATAGCTTCTCGGGGAGCTTCCAGTGTGAGAACAAGCGGGAAGCATTGGGAGTGATCTGGAGACCGGCGCCAACTTCTGCCAACTCTTTCGCTTGCTCGAGAACTGTAACGGTGTGGCCGGGCATGGCGCAGGAAATGGCGGTGGCGAGGCCACTGAGGCCTGCGCCAACGACGATGATGTCAAGATGTGAGTCTTGATGGCTCTATTTGATGGTTTAGTATTTTATCTTCACCTCCCCTTTCAAAAGTTACTTTGGTACGGCTCAGGGATAGAACACACCATTGTGGATCCTTCACTTCTCCCGAGAACACTGTTAAAGATGCCCATGGTGGCAGGGGCTCTTGAAATGACAATGGCAATGCGGAATGGCAAGTAAGGAGGCAGTCGCGATGTTTGTTGCTCTTTAAATCCACGACGACACGCTTTGCCGCCGGAGCTGCACTTATCCGCAATCACAAATCGTCAATTGGTCCAGATAGGAAAGAATTCCTGAGCTCAAACTGGGGCTGATTTGTAGGATTTGCACCGGAGTCCCCGGCTTTCCCGAGGGTCGGGATATCCGGGGGTGTGATGCAACGGTTCCAGTGGCTGACGTTCATCCCCATTCCTCATCTTAAGCAACTTGCGGGGGATCCGGGGTCTAGTGCCTTGGCTGGCACGGAAATGGCAACGTATGTTGGAAAATAGCGAACGGAAATTCCGTGGAGGGCTATGATACGAAGCCATCGCGGAAAGTGAAAAAGAGAGAAGCCCCCACAAGTCAAGAATAGCAGAGCAGGTGACTCCGTCACGTGGGGCCTTTGCTTTTCGCCCTGCTGAATTCATTGTGCTTCTTCCTCAACGCCATGTTCGAATTGCCATCCATGGTTCACTCCATGGTCCATAGGCAAAATCAATTCGTGCTCGTGGTTAATGTCGTCTCTGCGAAGTGGATTCGACTAAAGCAGGCAGAAATATCCGAAAGCATATCTGTCTTAACCGAAGAACTCTTAATCGGCCAGGAATCCTTTGGGAATGAAGTCACTCGGGCAAGTGCTGACAAGTACGGCGATTAGCTTTGCTGTTTGGAATCTCGCTACCAGACCTGCCAGGGGCTAGACTCATCTGACAGTCAAAGAAGAGTTGAGCTCACAGACAGCTTACCCAAAAGTTGGGAACGCTCTAAGCATGGTCTATGCTTGACTTGATTCGCCGAGGTAAGCTCTCCTAGCACTGAATACTAAGCATGACCTTCCCCGCTTACCAGGCACCAGTATCCCACGTGTACGCTGCTCGAAAGGTCCTATCAGAGGCACTTAGAGGCAAAGCTCTTTGTTTATCATAAAGCAAACAGACTCTGAGGTCATGACGTTGGGAAGAACCCGCGCAGGGCGGAGACGCAGTCTCTACGGCCATAACACCTAGACACGACCCCTCCCAAGGCACTTCGACTCAGTCCCCCAGCCGCCGTTAATATAGAGATCACCGTACAGGCTCTCCTATTGAGCAGCATGGGCCTCTGGACGGGACACTATTATTCGGTAGCTTTACGCCACTAGTGTACTCTATCCCTCTCTTCCTATCACAATCCATCTACGGCGCAGGATCGTACGTGGTCCCGAATATTCGGGGAACCCGAGGGCCACATCCCGGGATGAAGTGGCGTTTCAACGCCAGTCACTACCCTGTTCAGGGAGATTCCGATGGGTTTAGCCCATGTGATGATGGCATAGATTGTGTGGGGTAAAACCGGGGTAGTAGTGACAACTACCCAACTGCCGATATATGATCCGCTCCATGTCTAGATATATAGAACTTGGCATCGTATGACCTTTCTTCTGTTCCTCGCGACAGTTGGACCCTGAGTGGCCTGATAATTGTCCAATACTGCAACTAGTACTAGTACTAGTACTTCCATCATAGTACAATATGGCATCCCAAATAGATCCTAGGGTATGTCACTCCCTCCTCTTCATCATCGAATCGGAAAAATAAACAAACTAGAAACAAGCGCTGACCATCTGCTCTATGTCCTCCTATCGGGAATTTACAGCTCTATCCCCGCAGAGTCCGATTTGCAGCTCTACTCACCGTCAATGTCTTCGTCTTCATGGGCAATATGTACTCGGTATGATACTACCCACCATCTGGATAATCCCATTTGTCCGGACGAGCACTACTCACACGCAATGTCCCACATTAGTCAGGGATAGCGACCGGCTTCGACTCCCTCGCGGCCGATCTCCACGTCGGATACCAAAAGCTCGCTGACCTAGTCTCCTGGTCCGTCTTATCCATGGGCCTAGCCAACCTGGTCTGGATGCCGCTGGCACTATGTTTCGGAAAGCGCCCGGTTGTACTCGTGTCCATGGCCATGTTTGTGGCAGGGATTATCTGGACGGTCGTCGCAAAGGACTACAATAGCTTGATGGGAGCTAGAGTGTTTGCTAGTTTTGGTATGATATATCATCCCCTGGGGCTTTGTCCATGTGATGAATAGGGGTCTTTGCTAACAGCCACAGGCTATGGATCGATCGAGTCATTGGGGCCTAGTATCCTTGCTGGTTCGTACCCCATTCTTCTAAGACACATATGAAGCGAAGCGACCAGGTCCACTAATAAACCCTAGACATGTTCTACGAGCGCAACTACTCCAGTGCAATGGCAATCTACGCTCTCTTCCTCTCGGCTGGCTCTCAAGTCGGCCCCCTTATCGCTGGTTACCTCGTTGCTGCCCGTGGCTGGCGCTGGTTCTTCATCCTGTGTCTCATCATTGCCGCAGTCAATTTCGTTACCACCTTCTTCTTTCTCCCAGAGACGCTCTACGAGCCTGGACCCGAGGAGCAATTGGATATGGACGATAAAGAGAAGGCCGAGGCCTATCAGAGCCACGTCGAGGCCGTGCCCGACGTCAACGCCTGGCGGCGGCAGCAGCAGCAATTCTCCTACGGAGGGTATTGGAAGAGCTTGTTCAAGGTTGGCCTATCGGATGCAGCGAGAGAAAATGGTGTCTTCAAGCATCTGGCTCGGCTGTTCTGGCTACCGTTGCCCATGCTGCTAGTCCCGGGAGTTTTGATAGCTGCGATGATGTATGGTGTTGTATTAGGAGGGTAGGTTCCCCACTCCCCATTCTGTGCCTGGTTGTTTCATGGAATAAGCGATCTGACTATGCTATGCCGACAGTGTGGTCTCTATATCCACCCTTTCTGCCAACATCTTCTCCCCTCCGCCATATAACTTCTCCTCTGCCGCTCTCGGCCTGTGGACGCTTGGCAGCTTCGTCGGTATTCTCGTCGTGTGGCCCATCGCGGGCCCTCTGACCGACGCTCTCTCTACCTATCTCCGCAAACGCAATAATGGCGTCCATAAGCCGGAGCATCGGGTTCCCGCCCTCGTTATCCCGTTCGTCATCACTCCACTCGGTCTGGTTATCTTTGGATACACGGTCTCTCGCCACATGCAGTATGTGATACCAGCAGTAGGCTCGGCCATGTCTGCAGCAGGGTTGACCCTAGTCCCTTCGGTGATGTTGTCATATGTTGTCGACTCATACCCGCAGACTAGCGGCGAGGCGCTAGTGTTGGTGAATGCTAGCAAGAACATCGTTGCCTTCGGGCTGAGCAAGGGATCAGTGGACTGGATGACCACCCAGGGGGTGGACAAGATGTTCTATGAGTTTGCCGCTGTACAATGGGCGGTCCTCGCTTTGGGATTACCTCTATTTTTCTTCGGGCCGTGGATCAGGAAGAGAACTTCCAAGTACTTTTAACGATGATCAGTCTCTGTATATATTTATATCAACTAGGTTAAACATCTTTTTCCTCATCAATCAATGATATTGTCGAGCCAAGGTGGCTATTTGTTGAATTGTTTCTGCCATTGGACGAGACACGCTCCAGCGCGACGTGATAGTTTTCAGACTAATCTGGAGAAAGTTCATCTCGTTGAGCAGTTGGACTTTAGTCCCGTCGGTATCTTCGTGTCGGAGGTACTGGTCGATATCATAACCCTCACGCCAGATATCATGCCATGGAGTGTTTGGCCCAACATGGATTGTCTCTTCGCGGGATAAACACCATCCACCCATCACAACTGCCGACGCATATACAGCAGCTGGGATATGAGGTGCGTGAGCTGACTTGAACGGAATCTGACTGACGATTCGAGTAATAGCAAGTGCATGTAGAACTGCCCTAACAGCACCAGCACTCCTAGCCCATTGATTAAGATCAAATGATAGCTGGTCTTCCTTGGTGGCCATTCCTCCGAGTGGCTGCTGTAGACCATATGCGTGACATATCCTTCGACATAAAGAAGCAGAAGATACGGCTAGTTCAAGACAGACGGTGTGCCATCGGAGGGTGAGTTGGAAATTGTTGTCGTGGAGGGGTGATTCTTCACTGATGTTTTTGTCGTAGATATTTAACAAAGCTTTAATAATCTGCCTTTCGGAAATTGCGCCGAATACCGGTCCAGTGGTTTCGTGCAGGTCAGATACGAGGGACTGTAGACCCTCTATGGTGACAAGAATTGAGAAGGTTGAAAGAGGTGGTGGGGAGGAAGTAGGGTAATTTGGTGAGAAGACGGAGACAAACACTTCGCTGAAGGGACGTTGAGTTGAGCTTGACTTCTCCATTTCGACGATCCAGTCGTCTGCGGTCTTTGCGAGGAAGGCAGCATCAGGGCATGCAGTTTTGATGGAATTTATTAGGTGACGAGTGCTAGCCGGGGAACCTGAAGCTTGTGAGATTAGGCCGTCGAGTATGTAGTGGCCTAGAATTGCGCGTCGTTTAGTTTCAATGGCTGCCCATGTCAGCCATGCCGCATGCTTTGTCGAGTCCGGGGCATCTCGTGCTGGAATATGGTATTGTTGCAAATCTTCGGCGGCGTACATGCCAGATGTCCGTGCCCAGTAGAAGCCAAGTCCATGCCATACAAATGCAGTTGTTCGTATGCTTTCATTGCTCGAAAGTAGTGCAAAGAGTTGACCTAGAAGCGCCGTCATGACCAATTGGACACCGTCGCAGGCATCTCGCGGCCCCCGCAGGCTACTTAGTGTTTGCCAGGAGGTTGCTACTGTGGTATGGCCGAGGCGCCAGAGCATCTCTCCTTTCTGAGATGAGTCTGGTTGGCATACAAATAAGGAACCGAGGGCTACCATGTTCAGCAGGAGCGGCGGGATGGTTTCACGTGTTGAAAATGTTGGTTCATGTATGACCGGGAAGCATAGTGAAAGCCATTCGAAGAATTGCTGCAAGCATGCGTCAAGGAAGGCGGATGTGATGCCCGAGCTATGCAATTCCGAGTTCAAGCGTTTTGACAGGTCCTCTATCAAATTGTAGCTTTGCTGCATGGCTACTTTTCCAGGTTCTTGTTGAGAAGCTCCGGGGTCCTCTGCAGATAGGATGTTCGGGCCATTGGATATATGCAGATGCGGTTGATTTGGAAGCTCTGTAAATGGTAGCGGGATGGCCGATGGGCCCCAAAAGTCGGGCATAAACCAATCCACTAGGTTGTCAGAGCCGAGCAGTTGCTGATTCCCCGACAATGGAGACTGTTCGAATGAAGACATGCCTAGAAGGCTCAGTGCAGATCCTTTGGGACTGGGTAGATTGCCCTCGTTTGTGCCGCCTACTGATTGTGCTGCATCTGAGGAGGCATTTGCTCGAGAGCGGGCATGGAGCCTCTTGTGTCGGCCAAGGACATCACCTCGTCCAAAGCTTCTGCCACATTCATCACATCGAAATGGCCTGGTATTGGTATCTATGTAGCGTGAGATTCGTGCAGAAATGAATGTCATTCCCAAAACCTACGAGTTCGCTCATGTCTCTGGGCCTTGTTAACAAGGGTTCTCTGGCAAAGGAAAGGCGTGCAAAACGTACTGAAAGGTGTTCCGAATTTGGTATATGACCTATTGCATTGGTGGCACTTGAACTTCTTGACTCGATCCATCAGTTTCAGGGCGTTTGCGCATTAGCCAGCAAAGAACCATAGGCTATTCGGTCTTTGCGGGGAAAGAAAAGAAATGTGGAGAGCGGAATAGTTCGGATGCGGAGACAAGCAAGTTAACTATCTAGCGTGACCGCCTTTCAGACCGAACTCATGAAGAAGCTGTTGGACATGATCTATTCGATATGAGGAAAATGTGGAATATATTATAAATAAAGGTTGGTCGGTATGATGCTCAGCTACCAGCTTAAATAGATGCATCCGATAGAAACAGTGGTGCATAGCTGGACAATCAAGAAACGCCGAATGCTGCCTATTATATGCTCCAAAACACCCATGCGAACGCCTTCACAAATCTAGAAACAACTCGCTGAGACCTCAGCTAGCAACCGCAAGCTGAGCCACCAAATCCGATGCCACGTCAAGGAACGGATAGGGACTAGTGACCTCTTTCTCCTTATTCCAAAACCGCTTGCTGATGGGATGCCAATCGGCATCCCCTTCGCCACGGATCACATTCTGGTATCCATCGCATTTGAAATCGACCATGTAATTATTCTCTTCGAGCTGGTACAGCTGGATGTCGACGAACACCCAGACTCCATAAGAGATGCGCGAAATGGAATGATGCTGCGTCGCAGATGAAGGACCCGACATGCTCGCGTGCTCTGGTGTTAAATTTCTGTCATCCAAGGAAGCCGGCGCACTTGAGAGGTTGACGCGGCGGCGAAGTTCCTCTAGATCACTTCGACTGCTGTGGACACTGGTCGACGGGCCTGGAGCTCTGACGCCTTCTTTCAAAAGGCGGGCTCGTATGAACCACGGTTCTTTCGGGATGTAGTAGTCGGATGGTAGGTCAGGATACTTGCTCTGCAGCGGTTGCGGCTGTCCTGCGTCGGCCGGATTGACTCCGATCTGCAAACCATCTGAAGAGAAAATACATTAATCACCCTGAGTCGAGAAGTAGATCTAGTGTGGACTCACCTGCACCAGCTGGCTGGATTTCCCATATCCCGCCTTGTGCTTCAATGGCCTTGTAAAGGTACAGCATTGCCTCGTAAGGCTGATTGCGTGAACGAATGCCAAACTGCCATTTGCGAGATTTCTTGGGTTGATGCGGGGCACTCCGACCTTCAGGCGGCTCCAAACGCAACTTGTCAAGGTCTATAATACTACGAGAATGCGGCTTCAGAGCCCTTGCTGTCGCCTCTTGCTCCTCCGGGGAGCGGCCACCACGGCGCGAGTCTCCCTCGGATTCTGGACCACGTTGCGCTTGTTCCTCCAATAACCGGTCAGTGGCCTGGATTCTTTGCTCACGTTCGCGTTCGCGCTCGCGCTCGCGCTGTTCCATGAGTTGGTCGTGGACATAAGGTAAACTCGTTGGTAAAATCCGAACATGGCTCACGCGAGGTGCGTTTAAATCGTCGGCATCGCTCTGCTGAGGCGGTTGATAGGTCTGGCGTTGCGAACTACTACGTGTTCTTGTTGGAGGACCAGGTGGGGTTCCCGGAGCAGGAACAGGAGTTGCTCGTCCAGACGTTGCAGTAGGCTTAGGTATCCTGTCGGGAGGAGGCGAGGGTGTTACCGGGGGTACCAACATATTATCTTCTGTTGGCGCTGGAGAGTGTCAGCACGCTTCACATAAGACAGAGACAATGGCAAAGACCCATAGAAAGGGATCTTCTGTAGTACTCACAATTGGTCTGCATCATCTCATTCTCCATGATGATAAAGAAAGCGTCCTTGATGGCGCTGGGCTCCGGATTCTTGAGCGCATCCTCGATATCGTCGCGGGCATAACCCATACTTCTCTCCAACTTGGAGATAGCTACTTGATGGATTTTGTGCTGCACTGACAGGGGCTTCCCCGGGACCAACTTGCGGGGATCAATGGCCTTATTCGGATCGACACCGGTAGCAATGAATTCTTCGGGCGGCGGCTGTAGGTATTTGGGTAGGTCTTGAAGGAACCAGGGATCTTGACGGATTTCAGGGATAGTAAGCCTATGAACAGGATGTACCTGCAGCATTGACCTAATTAACCGAGCAGCTCCGGGGGATATGTAGCCAGGCATATGAAAGTTGCCCGCGGCAATTTTCTTGAAAAGGGCCGGTATATAGTCATCGTCGAACGGAAGCCTTCCTACCAACAGCACGTAGAGAATGACACCACAGCTCCATACATCTACCTCCGGCCCCGCATAAAGCTTCCCGGAGATAACCTCTGGCGCTGCGTAGTTTGGGCTTCCGCAGCTGGTTTTTAGAAAATTTCCGTCCGTCATGATGTTGCTCAGACCAAAATCTGCGATCTTCACATTCTTCTCGCTATCGATCAGAAGGTTTTCCGGTTTGAGGTCACGATGTACGATTTTATGACGATGGCAGTACTCCACAGCACATATGATCTGCTGGAAGAACTTGCGGGCTTCAGCGTCATTACACCGGCCCCTCTTGACTAGATAATCGAAAAGTTCCCGTTCGGCATATTCCAACACCATGACGATGTCGGTTTTGGTGGCAATGACGGTGTACCTGTCGGGAAAACAGCAAGTTAGCCATTGTTGAAGCTTTCGAATCGGATTCTGTCCGCCATTGCGGCATGGTACAGGGAATAGTACAATTTGATGATGTGCGGGTGCCGCAGCAGTTGGAGGTATTGGATCTCACGTTCAACACGACCAACCATGTCACGAGACAGCAATTTGCGACGGGAGATGATCTTAAGAGCGACCTGGCGACCACTAGGCTGGTGAATGGCCAGTTTCACCTTGCCAAAGGAGCCCTCCCCCAATATCTTGATCGTCTGGTACTGGTCGAGGCGCTGCATGTCCCGGGTGGTTGCTGGTGACTGCATCGGAGGCTCGCCGCCCTTTCCGATCGGGCGGGATGGCGGAGGCATCGCCATGGCGGGGATGTTGGAATTGGAAGAAGGCTCAGTCCCGGCGGTACGGTCACGAGAGCGATCGGAATTGTTGATGGGTGGGAGCGAGACAGAGAGATCCTCGTCGTCGAAAGCAGCGGCCATCCTGACGGGAGACTGGAGGTTGACGGCCGACGTCGGTTCGGCAAGGACGGGGAGGACAACGTGACGTGATGGATTTTGGCCGGAGGGGTGGTCCCGCGCTTGGGCAGATTGCCTTTTTTTTTTACACCTCCCTTCTTCTTAATTTTCTCTCCCTCCCCTTTTTTCGCCCTGATGGCAGCTCTAGAATGATTCGTGGAATTCGGGTCGACGCCTCACTAGCTTGGGTTCGAAAAACCCAATAAAAATATGATCAAAAGGGCGGGCTGTGGATAGAGGATCGGGTCTCCCCCACAACCGGTCAGGTTTGGTGGAAGTGGAGCGCTTGGAGAAGAATCGGTCTGGTCGACACCGAAAACCATCAACAACGCACCAGCTAGCGGGGCGGACGGAGGGGCGGAGAGGTTATTGAGGAGAGCGGGAGGGGGTTTGGGTAACCGTGGTTACGATGATCCTGATGTGCTGGCTGGTCTCGTTAGAGTAGATAGATAGCAGAGCCGGACTATTGAACATACCTCTCTAGTGTAACTTCTGTTATTATTGGAGAGAGGGAGAGGATCCCGAACGAAATGGACTCTAGTAGCTTCAACGGTGGTGGGAATAATGCTGACAATGGGGAAGGGACAGATGAATGGAGAGGAAAAACGGGGCGGGTTTAGGCTAGATGGAAAGTAACTGCGACTAATCCATTTAGCAGATTTAGCACAGACACTCTGTCCTGCTGATGGTTGGCTCGTGTCTGGGTTTGACCGGGGCATTGGATTGGTCTAAAATGAAGCAACTAACTGATGTACCAAGATAAACAAGATAAACATCCTTTTGAGGTTAATCATGGTATTTCTGTCTTCTAGAATACCATTACATCAAAAATTCCCATCACTGAAACCGATTATTACTAGGACTGCGAAATTATCCCTACCATTATATAAAAAAAAAAAATAATAATCAATTCCAATCTACTCTGTACGTTAAGTCTCACGCAGGCGGTAAGTAGAGGAGTCTAGACATGGCCATACAAAGGTATTCATTCTACCGAGTACTGATTGGTACTTCTAGTACTTTGAGACTACTACTTATGTTCGGGTTCCTGTTCGTACTCATTCTAGTAATTATAGTATATACTAGTAACTATTGATTAGCCAGGCCGCGAGCTGGTTATACTTAGTACTTAGTATTGATTGAAATCATGGCATCACTGTCTTTCACTTTGTCCAATACTACTACTAGTAGTAACTCTAATACCAGCTCTTGTGATCAAGATAGTACCGTTATACCATACAAGTAGTAGCACCAGATGCAGCCTGATTATCACCATGCGGATATTAGTACTAGTAAGTAGTTAAAAAGAGGTCGATGTCCTTAATATATATATATACCTAATGTGACAAAGTGCATGACCCCTTTGACATAAGGTATTACTTGACTAGAACATGCGCTGAATATTTAGGCATGTCATATGCCTATTAATGAGCATCGTCAATTACTGACTAGTGAACAAGTACACAAATCAGTCCGCTATTTGCAGTGCTACCGAGGATCTCAGAAGGAGGACTGCTGTCGGCTTAGGCGAAACCCTAGCTTATTCGCCGTTAAAAATATTGCAATCTGCACTCAAGCACTGTTTCTAGTAGTAGTTCATGAGTGTGATAGAATATTATATCATATTCACGTAGATGGATTGTGTAGCATTCGCTTAGGATTTATCTAGTGAATTTGTGACGCATGTTTGCTGCAGGTAATGCGCCTGGCTATCCGGGGCTTGGCAGCCGCATGTCATGTGGTGGGGAAGCTCTCCCGATCGATTCAAACAATCCTCCACCATCAGCTACATCTGGCTTTCGCACTGTGACCGGTTTTGGTTGTCGCCCTCACTTGGTCTGTTGAATTTATTATCGGGCGCTTCTACTTATTTGGTTATTGCAAGGGCGACCTGCTCCAGCCGGTGGGATTGAGACGGGGAGGCTCCGACATGGCCTCCGAACCAACGGAGGAAGCTATTGCGAACTTCGTGAGCTTCACCAGCTCAACCCGCGAACAGGCAATAAGCTTCCTCAAGGTGAACATTGATTTAAGTTGGGACCATTGCAGTTTAACTGACTAGATCGGATTGTAGGCGAATAACTTAAACTCGAACCAAGCCATAAATGCCTATTTTGAAGACCCCACGGGCCCTCAGACGCAGGTGACGTCCTGAAACTGCGCACGATGTGTTGGGAGCAGCGACTGATTGTCAGACATATGTCGATATAGAATATCGGATACCAAAATGATTCTGCCGTTCCTGGTATGATTGTATTCCTTTCGTCAGAGTGATGTGTATTTGAGTTAGTACTGACAGATGTGCCTTGATGAAGCGTTCCAGATCGAACACGCCGACCCGGCCCCCGGTTCCTCGATCACCGCTCCTTCACGCCCGCCATCAGCCCTAAACTCGAGTGAACAGGCATCTGGTTCTGAATATCAGCATAGCGCACCTGCATCAACACAGACTGCTAACGGTGAGGGCACACTGAGGGACTGCCTGATTTCCTGCTAGGCTAACCCCGCTTCACGCAGACGCCAACAAGGGCTTATCCTTGGCCGAGCAAGAGGAGCGGGAACTGCAACAAGCTATGGCCATGTCTTTGAATCAAAATCTCGGACAGCAAGAGACGGGTGTCACAACAAATGAAGCGAAATTTGGTCGAGCTACTCGTGACCACTATGATGAAGGCGCCTGGGCAATGACGTTGTTCAATTCTACCTCTCGTGAAATTATCATAAGCCCCGATCCAGCAGAGCGGAGGAGGAAAGATGGTGAACCGGCCTTCATACGACCATCCCATGACAACATGTACCTGGGTGGACTATTGACGATCCTTCATTCAATTCCTCTGGCGAGAGAAGCTCTTCTGCTCAGGAACCGACTTCTCACAGACTATGGAAAAGATCCACAGTGGTGGAACGGCCAGTCGATTACACTTCCTAAGATTGTCACTATTGATGACGCGCAGGACGGTGATACTGAATGGGATGATATTATATACGAAACCCAGCGTGTGGCAGCATTTTTGGACACTACCGATCGCGCCTTTGGAAGTGCTGATGCATTAGCCAACCTGAAAAGCATGTCCAGTTACGACTCGGAAGGCAGCGCGGCTAGATTTTTGGAATCGTGGCAAGAAGCTGCAGTCCGGGCAGACCCAGACAATCAATTGGCGACCATATTCTCGTCAACTGCATATAAGCGACCTCTTTCGATTTATGACACACCATTGGATAAAGAGTTCTTCTTACTAGAATCCTACGTGGAGCAAGAGCATGGTCAGACTCTCTATGATGTTATCGACCACACCATGTGGTCCGACAGGCCGGGCGAAGATCTTGACGACGTATGGCTAGAACACGTCGCAGAGGTCTTCACAATCAAGCTGGAAGGCTCTAATAAACCCGTTGATGTGAAGATCCCTGCAGTTTTCTATCCTGATCGGTATCTTGCGGCCAACCGAGATCTCGCGCGTGAGTTCCGTGCGCAAAGGCTCCAGATCTACGAAAAAATCTTCAGACTAGAGGGCTTGATGAATCGCTTCTCAACATCTAAGTCGGTCATTCGTCAAGGACTGACCTCTAGAGAGACGCTGGAAAAAGCTGCTGCTGCGGTTTCCTCGACACTGCCCAAGAGCTTGTCAAATGAAACGACTGCCTTTACTCCAGAGTCGGCGAATGCAGAGGCACAGAGGGTGGCTGATGAGCTGAAAGCGATTTCCTGTAAAATAGAAGCCAAGCTCAAAGGTAACATCCCGAAGACCCGTATGATTGCCACTCAGCGCTAACTGGTCCCTGAAACAGAGCTGGAGACTAAGAAGCAGGATGCTATGGAAAGCCTCCGGAGCTATTCTAGAATCCTCACTGAAGCTTCTTCTTCGGGCGAATTACCACATCACAAGTACACACTGCGAGGCGTGTGTACTGAGCCACATGTGACTTATGTCCTAAAGCGCCGTGTGTCGGAAGGCTCCACGAATGGATGCGCTACCTCAGCCGATGACGAGTATCAATGGTGGCGGATCAGCTTTTCGACCGACGATGCGAAGAATCGCCAGGCTGGAACAAGCTCAGAAGGCGATGCAGCTCTGCACAACTCCGACGTCATTGGGTATACCGCTCGCAAGGTCAGGGAAATTGAGGTCCTTCGAGCGGCCCGCGAAGAATCTAAGAATGTCTTGCTTGTCTACGCCAATAACAATGCAATGAACGTGCCGGAAGAGCCAGCTCCCAGTCAACTTCAGGTAAGGCAACGTCTACTAATTGGATGCAAGAGTGGCTGGAACTAACAGCAGTCATTACAGAAATTTGTGCACTTGGACAATCAAGCATTTGAGGCCGAATGTCAGGAAGCAGATAGTACTAGGACCCAATCTGGCCGCCAGAACCGTGCATTGAGTGCTTCTGTCAGTTCCCAGGAGGCATAGCTGAAACCTCAGGACATTATGTGCTGACACATCTAACAGGAACCGCTCAACCAACAGGAAGGTCGTACGACGCCAAATGTGAACGTGTTTGACTACCAGGTTCCATCATTTGACGAGGGAGCGGGCCGGGGGCAGGAAATGGAGGAAAGAGGCGGACGCCCTTTGCTCAGCCGAAGTAGCACAGCTGGACCTGTGCAACCTTCGCAGAATGCCGACGCGATGTGGGACCAAGTCGACGACAAGGCGACATGACACCCAGGGCTGAAGTCTTAAGTTGATCCGTAATTATTGTCATTTAGACTAGATACCTAGGCGTCCCGCAATCGAGATCTAGAACCTGGCATAATTAGATATAGCGCTTGGAATGTCAAATGAGAAGCAACTTAAGGCTGAGCGACGCATTAGGATCAACAGGGTTTGTTTGACCATTGTTTGGGACTAAAGAATGGCTCCCCCACGTGCCGTTTGTTGATGTTGTATGTCACGTTTGCATTGTCCAACCCCCCAAACGACGCCGTCTCCCCTTAGCATCGAGATTCGAGAACCGTGGTTCCAGCAACATTGTCCGAACAGGGAAACCAACCCCCTCTACTAAGCAACCTGCACCATGACCCTCGAAAACGACGCGGTCGCCGGTGCCACAATTGAGCTCCTCGAGACCCGTCTGCGGCGTCTCACATACCTCTTGACCGGCGATGCAAACTGGACTGGCAATCCCACGCCGCCCGCAAAGCCCGCATCTCTCGATGACAGCGTCTCGCGCCGTCTTCTTCGCCTAGAAAGGGACCTGGAAAAGCTGAGCAGAAACATCCCCGCCGTTAGAGATGTTCTGAGTCTCCGTATGATTGACCTTTTCTACACTTGATGAACTGTGTTCGTAGGGGGTGGATCAATAGCTAAACTAATACTTTCGTCCAGACGACCGCTTCCCCGACCTCTTCCGCCAAACACCTTCCAAATCACTCCCTGAGAATCTATCGACGCAGAACCTCGCCTCGATCGTCCTATCCTACGCTTCTGCATTCCCCGAAACCGCCTCCCGACTTACTTCGTTGAATGACCTCCCCATCCCAGACGCCGAGACTTCAGCGTCGCTTATCCAGCTCCAGCCACGACTGGACCAGTTGGCGCGAACTCAGGAGGACCAGGCCAAACAAATCTCCGAGCTACGTGTGCGGTCTGCTCGAGTCTTGCAGCGATGGTACGAAGTGGCGCTGGTTAGTGGCGGTGAATGCTGGGCCGAATGGGAAGGAAGACTGGAGGATGTGGAAAGGGAGGTCAAACGGGAGGAAGTGGTGAGGGAGCGGCGAGCGAAGGAGTTGTGAGAATGAGGCAGTTGCTTTCTTTTTCTTCTTCTGGTTCTGTTCCCATGTTCTTTTAGCGTGCTTGGCTTGTGATGTGATATGATACCTCTTTGTTTGTCCTGATCATGGTTAAGGATGGTAGTTATAGAGGAGAATGTTGGGTAGTAAGTAATTCTTTCGTCTACATAGACGAACGAGTCATTCATCCATTGAGAGACATCGTCTTCTGTGGCAACGATTACTGAATGGACGGTAAAGCCGTTGGTAATCAACAGTCCTTTCTTTTGTTTCTTTCATCTGGACATGAAACAGACCGACCGGCCTTTGATCTTGCTCCCTTCGGGGGAGTCCATCAAACAAAGACCGGCGGCAGCCGGGGTTGCAGTATACCGACGACGCACGGAGAGGATCTGGACTCCCGACAGAACTGATCGACCACGCCGAAACCCGGAAGGAAGAACGGCGCATGTCCCTATATCAAGCACTAGTCACTGCGATCCGTGTGTACTCCATACTTACTGTAGTAGTAATTAGTGGGTATCTACAGTACCTGCTGAAAGTAGACTCAAAGGTACCTGGCTCATTTCAAGGACACAACAAGTCACCTTACCTTACGGAGTACATACATGGTACATATTAGAGACGAAGAAGACCCACGGGGAAGAATCCCGACCGGGTACTTTTATGTCTGTCTCATGAGCGCGATGCCTTGCATGAGGAGCATGGAAGTGCGTTGTGACTGTGATTGTGATGAGAAGGAGAACACGTCGTGGGAAATTCTTTGTTTGGCCTACCTAATATGTGTGTGTACGAGGCAGTGTTCTGACGGAGGGGAAAGAGCACAGGATGAACTCGTGATCAGATGTGTGTCTGTGTGGGAGTGTGATACGAGGTATAAGAATTGCTATAATCGTACCTAGGTAACTCGTGATTCTTACTGTGTCTCACCTGCTTACTGTGTACGGTATGGATACTGTGTGTTTACACAAGGTTGCTTGTGATGGGCTGGCTGGTCAGCAACAGTCCGATAGGGGGTATCTGCAGGTCTAAGCCTTGCAGTCTGAGATTTGAATGATGACGATGATGATGATGATGATGATAATTTGGTACCTTTGCAACTATGTGTGGTGATGAATTTATTCCTGCTTAATTAGTTATGTAGTGAGTAAAAATGAGTGCTATGCTAGAATTAAACCAAAATTGGACCAGTGTTCCATACGAGTCATGTTATCCCCAAAAGAACCAACTACCGAAGGGGAAGAACACTATCGTCATTTATTCCCAGGATCACCTGGGGCGTAAGCAGCAGCAACATGATCAGCAGGGTTGGAATCGTGGCAGTCAGTGTAAGGCTTAATTCACAGAGGCTTTTTTCTAGAAACAAACCGTTGGTTGCCTGGAATAAGAATGTTGGGTGAATTCTCACTGAACCATGTTGTTCGGAGCACATCGCTACCAATGATCTCTACAGTACATACTAAGTAACTACTAATTTCCCAAGTCTCAGCGACCAAACCAACTGTTCAAAACGGTGGACACAGGCCATCGACGCCGCCACGAGAGCCACAACTCAGCCTCAGCCTTTCCAGGGGCCAGAATGGACGAAGAGAATCCACCACCGGCACTAAAAGAGGGGCGACGAGGCCCTCCGGGAAATCGACTAATCAAACAACAATCATGGCCGGAGTTTGCGTGTCGTGCCGCCTCAAAGCGGGTTAGACCGGGACCCAGTTTTCATAAGGAAAATGCATCAATCTCATTAGTATTTCTCTCTCCCGGAGGGTAAAAAAAAAGACACACTGACACTACCTACTAGTAGTAACCGAAGTGGTAGACTAGTAGTGAGAGTGGAATGAGATGGCCCGTGGAAATTCATTTTACTTTTTTGTCTACCGGGATGAATTATCATTAAAATTGAAATTGTTTGACGTGCACATACCAACTAAACTAGAATCATTGTTATTGTGAAGTCTAGTCTAGGCTTTTTTTGAAAATCTCAATGAAAGGGACGACGTACTAAAGCTGAGCTTAAGTATCCTTTCATTTAATGTATTCACCCATTGAGATTAATGCGACCGTAATTGAGAAAATCAAAATAATTACAACTTGCGATTAACAAAATGACAGCAGATACTACTTACTGTAAGTCCGGAGTAAATACTTAGTTACCTACAGGACAGTCGTCATCCTTCACAGCCCGGTTCTATCCCCCCTTCCCTGGAACATCCTCCGAGTTACTATAAGAATAGTAACGGCAGAGAAACCACCCTAGCAGTACCCAATTGTTAATTGGTAGACTAACTAAAGTAGTTATCTATGGACTGATGAACTAGGTAGACAGAATAATAGAAATAGAACTATCAGTTAAATAGATAGACAGATAGATAAATGTATGCCAAACTGCCATACGTCGCAGGCCACGCACTAAACCCAGGGGGGGCCCCCAAAAAGACAGTGCCTGAGGGTAAGTACTGTCTTTCTACGGTTCGCGTGGGCCACTCGGGCCAGGCACCGTCGCTCTGAAACTCGATCCCATTTGTTTTCCCTTTCCCCTTCCACCCAATTGTCCCCATTCCCATCCACCCACCCATCCATCATCTCCTTTTCCTGGACCTCGAACCTGGAACTAAGTAGGCCTCGCTCACGGCTCCCTCAGTCCCTCCAGATTTGGGCTTCGCCTTTCTCCATCTCCAGCCGTTCCCATTCCTCTCTTTCTCTCATCCTTCCCTTCTCCTCTACCCCATCGACTTTTCTTTCCCTTTCCCACTCGTTTCACTCGTTCACCCCTCCCCCCCATCATCTTCTCTATTATCTCTATTTCATCTATCACCTTTTGCTTCTCTCCCTCTTTTCCCCTCTTTTTTTTTTCTCCTCCGTCTCCCGCTTCTCTTAATTCATTCCTCTGCTTCTCCATCCGCCTCTTTTCGACACTAACGTTTCATCATTATCCGTTCTTCTCCAGCCTGGTGCTGCTGTTTCTCTTCGTGCTTCTGCAAGGGGCATTCCGTGGGCTTGTCTGAACACCAACCCAAGCCAACCTCTCCGAGCACTTGTTCCTCGATCCCTCCTTCGATTGCTCCGCCGGTTTGAGACGATCGGTGCCACTGCTTCTCTTCCTCCCCTTTCGCCGACCCTCAGCCATTCCACATTCATTTAACCTGTCTGTCTCAGAAGTATGTGATGCGTCGATCCTTGTTCTTGTTCCTCTAAATCTTATTTCGAGTTTTGGTCGCACCCATCCGCTTTACCTTTCTGTCCTGTTCCCTGCATGAGGCTCCTTGGGGATCGCGTTGTTGTCGTTCCTCACGATGTCCTCCGTGCGCCGTCGATCAACTTGCATGTTCCTTGATCATACACGTTCGCCCACCTGAGCACCTGGCTAATTGCTCTGTAGTCGGACACTTTCTTCCACCTTGGTCGGATCTCACGCTCATTGCCACACTCGACGGGTTTACCATTCTCAGATCACATCCGACCTAAATCGTCAATTGACTCGACAAATTTAAAGCATAGAAGGACCTTCTCTGCTACTGTCCATATACACCATCGGGGCCTTCACAGTCATCGTCGCATCGCGTCTTGAACAGCATCCTCCCATTCCGGACGCTTCTATATAACTTTCTGCGACCTCGTTCGAACCACATTCATGGTGGCTTACTCTTCGCGTTCCCCCTCCTTCCAGAAGCCATATACCTATCCTGAGCCTCCACGAAAAATGGCGCGCTTCAGAGCCAGCAATATTCTGGGCGACCCTTTTGCGCTCGCGACCACGTCCATCTCCATTGTATGATTTCAATCCATTCTGGTGCGATGGCTCGGGTTCACGGCTAATCTTCGTTTAGTTGGCTTGGTTGATCGCATTCATCTCGTCCATTGTCACTGGCGTACATGGCGGATACCCCACCTACTCGTGGTGGGCTGTTGCTTACTCCTTTTGCTGCATTGCTGGTATGGCGCTTGTCTTCGGCACCGATACCGGTACCGTCTACAACATAGCGGTATGTCGCCATTCCTTCTGACCCAATCTTTCGACAACCCTTCGTACTGACTTTTGGCAGATCGTGGGGTATCTTTCCGCTGGTCTTGTCATTACAACAATCTCCATCAACTCGTTAGTCTATGCGAACAGCGCCGCATCGCAAGCTGCCGGTGCTGGGTTCATTCTCTTGGCTATGGTTATTGTAAGTGATAATCAGCTCCGACACAGACCCACTAGGCAGTACGTGACTTACCTTTGATGCAGATCATTTGGATATTCTACTTCGGATCTAGCCCTCAGGCTTCGCATCGCGGCTTCATCGATTCGTTCGCCCTTCAGAAGGAAGGTGCTGGCTCGTATGGAAATGGCAGGCCTATGTCAACCGCCTTCGGCAATAGACCCGAAACGACATCCAGCCAGCCCCCGCAGATGTACACGTCCGCTCAACTCAATGGCTTCGAGACTTCTTCCCCCGTGTCGGGCTACCCCGGCGGAGCCCCTGGCTCCGAACACCGCAGCTCCTCGCAGCCCCGCTTCGGCAACCCGTCCGCCACGAACCTGCCTAACAATGGCACACCAGACGAGGTTCCCCAGCCAACGGAATATCCGTACCGTGCGAAGGCCATCTATTCGTATGAGGCCAACCCCGAAGACGCCAATGAGATCAGTTTCACCAAGCATGAGATTTTGGAAGTGTCCGATGTGAGCGGTAGATGGTGGCAGGCCAGGAAGGCCACCGGAGAGACCGGTATTGCTCCATCCAACTACCTGATCTTGCTGTGATCGATGCAGAGCAATCCACGGTGTCACGTCCTTTCCTTCTTCTGTCTTTCTGGTCTGTCATGGTTCTCGCTATTTTGTCGCGAGAGAAAAATCAGTTTTTGATACCCTTCGAGTAGTATCACTCGGCGTGATTCTGGTTCGCGAAGTCATGTTACGTTTTGATGGCCCTGTGTATTCTGTTGGTTTATTTGTCGTTCATTAGAGACATTTCTCTTCGTTTTGTTGTGCGTGTTGGCATATTTGAATTATGTATGCTCCCCGACTCCTTCAGCGGGAATTTGTGCTGTTGATATGTTATGTATGGCCTTCGGATCTGTTTTGATCATGCCCAGAAGCACCCTCATCCTTGACGGTTATATCTCTTTCGTGTTACTATTGGAAATGAGTCCGTGTTTAAATGTTATGCTATCTTCTCACCTCCTGACTGTTCATAAAAAATGAACGATACGTCGCACAAGTCAAATTAGACAGGTCGCATTCGATCTCCTGCATTGAAATGGTGGTAGATAAGCAGGATAGATAGATATGTTGAAATCAAGTACACTTCCATTGACCGATCTTATTCCGCGACCACGTGCGTCGAGCGATTGACTTCCCTGCTGGCCGACCTGAGGTATCAGAATGACCGCTGCATTTAAGCCCGGCATTCTTTCTCGCAGTCCCGCATCGTGGAGCGGCCCATCCAGACATGTCGTGTTCCTTGGAACTATTCATCCACCCGTTCCCGAATACTCCGCTCGAGCCCAGTCCCCGTCTAGAACTTTTTTTCTCCCTGAATTCTCCTCTGGTTTACCTGTCTTGTCCTAGTTTCGGTGCTTCTTGCTTTCTCCATCTCCCCCGCTCTGTCCAATAATATGCCCCTTTTCCCTATCCCCTCCACTATCAGACCCAGCGGATGAGTAGTTAGTACTAAGTAGTAGTTCTTTGCCCACCCACTGACGGCGGAACTTGCCCCGGACAGTTTAATTCTTCAGGCTTTATTTCGCTCGAGCATTTCCGCTTGATAAGTCTGCAGAGGAAGCGGTGATGATGGTAGTGGTGATTCTTTAACTGTTTTTTTCTTAGGATACCTCTTCTTCTCCTTCTTTTGTATATGTATTACTTACTATATTGACTATATATCTCATTGCTGGTGGTATCCGGGAAGTCGCCATACTACTACAACTTCTGTCGTTTTGCACATACACGCCGATATCGGTCTCTAATTGTTATGCACTACTACCACCTACCGCATTATGGCTGCGAGTAGCGAAAGTGATGATGGCAACATCACAGTTGCATCCTATGTCCTAGGCACGATTGGCACCGTCCTCTGGTGCATCCAGCTGATTCCTCAGATCTGGTATAACTGGCGACGGAAGAAAACCGATGGGTTTCCGCCTTTGATGATGCTTTTGTGGGCTTCTTGTGCGTTTTTCGAACAAACTCCATGCTGTTTCTTGTGCTTTTGTGATTGTATAGAATGCGTGATATGGGATGGAAGATTGACCTGATGAGTTGGTGCTTTGTTGAGCAGGTGCCGTGCCGATGGGTGCTTATATGGTTTTGCAGGTGAGTAACATGGTTCTTGGTGATTGATCTATCTAGTTTGACGTAAGGCAGCTAACGAGGGCGCTCGCAGGAGGTCAATTTACCGTTACAGATCCAGCCGCAGATTTTTGGCTTCTTTTCGCTGGTGAGCTGGGGGCAGATATTATACTATAATCAGTATGTGGTCCTTGTTTCTTTTGATATCGTTGGTGGGATGGGGTTTGGCTTCTGAGGTTGTTAATGTTTCTCGTGTGTGATTATAGTAATTATACTTGTCTCAAGTCAACGTCGTTAGTTGTGGGTACGGCGATGTTGTTTGGTGGGATTGAGACGTTGTTAATTCTCACTTTGAGGGTTTGTTTCCGCTACTTCCTGCTATCTGCATTATGGCAAATAATTTCGGTGTTCAGATACCTTATAATAAGGGCGTGACCTGGCCGGACCTGGTGGTTGGAGTCGTTGCGGCAATTCTACTAGCATCTGGGCTTGTGCCGCCGTATTTTGAACTGTGGAAGAGAGATGGTCGGGTAATTGGGTTCAGTGAGTATTTAGTTGTGTTTTACCGGGATTGAAACATTACTGATTGTCCGTAGATTGGGTGTTTCTGTCCATTGATACCCTGGGAGGACTGTTCTCGCTGTTCGCTCTAGGTTCGCTTGCACTGGCATGGGACCTTTATTAGTATCATATGAGGTCTAACGATAGTTTTATAGCTGCCCAGGGATCGTTCGATATTCTCGGAGGGATCATGTACATTCTCGTGTAAGTCGGATGGACATACGGGCTGTCAGTGACGTTAGTACAAGTTGTGGACTGGCTGACCCGGATGAGTGACATATAGGGTTGTCCTCGAGGCAGGTATCTATGCAAGCCATATCATCTGGCGGATTCGATACCGCGCAGTACGCAAGGAAGCCAAGGCATCTGGCAGAAGCATCGATGAAGTGCTGGAGGAGCGAAATCAGGTCGAAACGCCTCAGGATAATAAGAAAGATGGGATCGTTTCTCATCACCGAGGGAACAACAGCCCTGTGCAGCAGCAGCAGCACTCGGAGCCAAAAGTAACGCAAAGCATTTCGGAGGGAAATGATGCCGATGCCTGAAATCCGTGGCAGCGGAAAATGGTGTGGCAGGTGATAGGCGTTGCGGGTGCATCTGCCATTCGCCGATTCAGTACTTTTTACTATAAAGTACTTACTTAACTTACACTACTACGGAGTACAGATCTGAGATATCGCATCTCGACCCGAGACCCGCCCAACGGTCCGAAAGATGCGAGGCAACTACTACTACATAACAAAAAAAAGAAAAGGAGAGGAAATGGATGGATGGATAGATAGATAGTCATGCATCGAGACCCATTTTCTGGGCCTGAAACGCAGCGAGAATGTTGCGGACAGGCCGCTGGACAGAGATGCATGTGCGCCGTGGCAGCTGGACGGTGCTAAGGGATCTTAGTTTGCCTTTGGGATGTCGCTAGTCATGCAATTGAACGCGGACAACAAACCTTTGCGCCTGCCGTTGGGTTGCGTTGAAAGTTCTTTTTTCGAGGGTTTAAGCTGAGATTATTATTTAAATTGACACTTATTTAAATGGCGAGGGAAGCCCGGTGCTCTTACGGGTCCAAGCGTGGGTTAGAAAAAATAAAACCGAGCTATTTTCTTTTGGATTCTATTCCGGGTTCCCCTGACTTTTGTTGTAAGTTCTCGAACTGGATGGAGTAAGTAATTTTTAAAGGTTGTGGATGGATGATAATCATTCTGATGCTGTCTTGGGTGTAGTAGTCCATTGTCATTGTCATTATTATCATCTATTTTATCATGATTATTCGCCTTTGATTATTTTATTTGGCTGTTAGCGCATCCCCTCTCCTCAATCCCAGTCTAGAACGGCTGTTTCCCTTTTCCCTTTCCCACCCCCCCTCCTCCTCTCTTGTGGTCATCTTTCAAGCTATCCACTTCCTCTCCATCTTGATTACTGTCGCTATACTATTTCTGTATTGCACAACAGCACAGTCCTCTTGTCCCTCCCTCGCTCTCCTTGTCTTCCTCATCCATTCTTCCTTTTCTCTGTTTTTCTATTTGATCCTCCCTCCCCCGATCCATCCGGCCGCGTCTCTGCCGTCGTTCATTTTTTTAGTTTACTTTTTTAGTCTCGTCCCCTCTCTCTTTTCAATATCGTATCTACTACCATCTTCTTCCCCATCTACTCCATACTTTAGTACTGCTCCTTTGGATCGAGCCATGCCGAGTGGCCCATTGCTTGCTGCACATTTCCCCCGTCTCTCCTTCATGCTTGGATGCCATTTGGACCGGCGGAGGGTTCACTGACCTTTCCCGCGTGTCGTTCCTTTCACCATCTTTTATTTGATTTTGGGGGTGTATCATCTTTTGCTTTTTCTTGCTTCTCGTTATCTTTTCTTTTTGGGGCTTCTATCTCGTCAGCTGCTGATTGTCCGCTTCTTTTCTCTCCTCTGCATTGCGGTAGCAAAAGGAGGCAGACTTGAAAAGGACCGTCGACCTGTCACACGGGGAATTGAGGGACAATTTTATGCAGTTGCACGATGCCAGACCGTCGTTGGGCCAAGCTCAAGGCAAAGCTGTTATTGCGGCGATCGTCGTCAACATCGTCCGTTCCTGCCGCCACCAGCGACATTATTGCCGAGAACAATCCCCATAATGCCCGCGCCCAACAGAGTTGCGCCCCCGGACAATTGGACGATTCGATCGCGGATTGTCCCCCAGCGCGACCCATCAGTTCCAACCGGCGCGCGGTATCATTACAGGCTGTGCCCCAAGCCTTGAAGCTGAAGCTGAAGAAGAAGGAGGAGGAGAAGGAGGAGAGGCCAGAAGAGGAGGACGATCGGGCGAGTGCAGCTGAAGGGAGGCGGACATCGGTGATTGGCTCGAAAGGCGGGCGGTCGAGGGGATCGTTGGAGGAGGAAGAAAAGCAGGTCGAGAAGTTGGAGAACTGCAACTTCAAGTCGAAATCCTCCTCTCACTCCGAACCGGTCGCGGAACAACGTGAGGGACAACGGCACTCGCTCCTCGTTCCTCCAGGTGCCAGTGCCGGTGCTGGTCCCGGTGCTTCTCCCCAGCGTCAGCAATTGGACGCGACGACTTCTTGCGATCGTGTTCGCCCCGCGCCCTGCAGGCGTCACAGTCACGGTCCCTTTTCCGAGCACGTCCTTTCCCCACCCCCGACAACTCTATCGCCAGATCTGCTCCCTTCGCCTTCTCCTACCCCTCCTCCCCCTGTCTCTGATCGTGGTGTTCTTTCAACCTCCTTCCAGTTTGGCCAAACTCAAGGCCTCGATCGCCTGGGGCCTACGGTCGCGGAGCCGCAGTTGCCCGTGTTGGATGTCGTTGCGGAGATTCCGTCGGTCGAACCAGAATTTCAATCCTCCTCCAACCATACTCCCGCTCCTTCCTTCCCAAAGCGTCCCAGTCTAGGCTCCCGTCGTCAGTCGCTGCTGGCCCCGTCTCATCAACACCTGATCAACAGCCTGTTGGATCCCGGTTTGACCGCAGAGCCTGAGACTAACGGTAACGGTCGCTCCGCCACCTACAGTACAGGCATGTCTCGCAAGATCTGGGTCAAGCGGCCAGGCGGATCGGCCACCTTGGTCCCCATCTCGCTCGATAGCTTGGTGGACGAGCTACGGGACCAGGTGATCCTGAAGTACTCGAACTCGCTTGGCAGAACCTTCGATGCCCCCGATATTGTCATTCGCATTACTCCGCGAGATGGATCGAATAGGCAGGCTACTCCTGATCGGATGCTAAGCCCGGAGGAGCCGCTGGCAAGCGTGGTGGACTCATATTACCCCGGTGGTCAAGCTATCGAGGAAGCTTTGATTATCGATATCCCTTCGCGTCGCACTCCAAAACCTTCTCCACGCCATTCAGTATACTACAACCATCATCATTCCGAGCCGGGCGAGCATGGCGAGTACTTTCCGCTCATGCCGGCGAATCCCAGTGTTCCCACGCCGCCGACGCATCCGTCTACCTCGTCCGCCAGTGTTAATGCTCATCCCGCCCCATCAATATCAATACTGACGACAGGAATGGCCCCTCCGCTGCCCTCGCCAGGGAGTCGCGGGACTCGACATCCCCGTCGGCCGCCCCTGACTCGCCATGCCACCAACTCACCCACCATCCTCAATCAGGCGCCAACAGCGAAAGGTGGGTCAACTCTAAATTTTAACGAGCTACAAGACGTCGCATGCAACTGCTAAGAAACTTGCTAACTTTGTGAGTAGACTCCGGGATCGTCCCCAGCAGTATCCCTCCGCAGCCTGCTCCGTCCATTCCTACTCCGCCAGGCCCGCCGCCAGAATCCCCTCAGGCCAAATCTCTCACCCCTCCAGCACGCGGGGCATCCCCGCGTCCACGTCCCTCCACATCCTCTGCGAAGCCGAAGAAGACCAGCGCAGCACAAGCATTGAGCGGGGTCTTTGGAGGCCTCATCGAGGGCACGGTACCGCCCATCAACGTCTTGATCGTAGAGGACAATAACATCAACCAACGTCTTCTGGAAGCTTTTATGAAACGTCTCAGCGTCCGCTGGAAGTGCGCGGCGAACGGTGAAGAGGCGGTGAACAAGTGGCGCCAGGGTGGTTTTCATCTTGTCTTGATGGATATCCAATTGCCCGTCATGAACGGCCTGGATGCGACCAAGGAAATCCGCAGGCTCGAACGCCTGAACGGTATCGGTGTGTTTCCCAAGACTGCTGACGGGCGGTCGAGCGCTGCCACTGCCAATGCGGCCTCGCCCTCGGCAATTGCGGGCAGTCGGGAACCTCTGAAGGCAGAGGATACATTACACGATCTGTCTCTGTTTAAAAGTCCCGTCATTATTGTAGCCCTGACCGCGAGCAGTCTGCAGAGCGATCGTCATGAGGCTCTTGCAGCTGGCTGCAACGACTTTTTGACCAAGGTAAGCATATATTTTCTCGGACTATCGTTCAATTTCGCGCTTCTATCGCAACATGCTAACATATTGCGAAGCCGGTTCGCTTTGAATGGCTGGAGCAGAAAGTGACAGAATGGGGCTGCATGCAAGCCTTGATCGACTTTGAAGGCTGGCGCAAATGGCGCGGTTACGCCGATGACACTCAGCCTTCGCCCACGTCTGATGGTCATACGAGTCCCATGCAGACTGGCGGAGACGGAGTTTCGCGGAAACAGTCCCCTGTTATACCACTCTCACCATCCTCTACTTTGAGTCAAGGAGCCACCAAGAAGGACCGCAAAACCCCCAGTTTCCCTAAACCCATCGACGTTACACCCGAAGACTCTTCCGGCAGTGGTAGCGGCGAGGGCTTGGACTCACCTGCCAGTCCTGTAACATCAGTCCCTGTTCCAGACGGGCCTGCAGATCTCGATGCACTCTAGTTGATCCTCATGCTATACAATTTTCCTCCTGATGGGGATAATATCACATCGACCGATTGTCAGACTGCTGCGCGCCTGTGTGATTGAGCACATCACGTGCATGTTTGATCTTCTATCTCTCTCCCTACCTCTCTCATTTCATCTCATCTCCAAAACCGCATTCTCCGCTATTTTGCGTCTTCCAATGGATACCCAGCATAGCCAATCGTCGATCTTATTTTCTTCTTATTATACTCCTTTGCCTTCCTGGTGTCCGCGGCCCCCCGGGACGCGGTTGTCATACACTTCATTCCCTTTGTTTGTTCGTTCGTGATCAACTTCCAACTTCACAGGCGTCTCTGATATATTTTTTTCCATGGTTGGTTGCTTTGGGAAAGGGGCAAGGGATGGAAGAGGTGGCATACTCACGCATACGAATCGAGATGTCGTTTTTGTCGTTTTCCTGTTATCATTCTTATCATCTTTATGCACCTACATGTATGCCGCCTTTGGAGGGACTTGGCCTTCTGTTTCTTGTGTCTTGTGTCTACTTCGTAGAGTTGCTGTTGATGTACATAGATCATTTTGTCGATTGGATGGGTGGTTTTGCCCTCCTTGAACTATATATCACTATGTAACTTATTTTTCTTTCATTTTGTTATTCTTACTGGAATGGTGTATCGATCATATTGTGAAACAAACAGCCATTAAAGACATAGATATCTTGTTCAACTCTTATATGTAGTGTAGTACTGGAGAATCCGGTTCGAAGAGAGGTAGGTAGGTGATAGATAATAGTAAAAGGGGCTATAGATACATATTCATGGCTTCCAAGTAGAAGAGGAAATAAAAAGATAAAGATGTGTGGATGGGGTAGTAACCGAACAAGCTCCTCGAAAAAAAAAAGTGAATATCAATCGATCAACCAGTCGAAAAGGACCGTATCGTACAGCTGAAATACAAGGCAACCAAGAGGGGCATACAAATACATCCACCATCCATACCGCGCTGCGAGATGGACGGGCTATACAGGGAGGGATCTTTCATGTCATTGGGGAGGAAATAAACATGATTGACGAAGAAAGAAGGGAGTGTAATCCAAGGTCAAGATTTGCAAGCTTAGACCTCCACACGGGTGGGGATCTTGACCTGGCCCTTCTTCCGGTCGTAGCTGGGGACACCGTATCTGCGACCAGGAGCCCGAGCGTTGCGACCATCCTTGCCGGTGGTTTCCTGGCTGACGACAACGTCGTTGATACGGAACTCGAAGCGAGAATCCTCGGGCTGCACACGCTGCGTTTGCTTCTCCTTACGCTCCTGGGTGAGACGCTTGCGCTCCTGATCGGCAGCGTCTTGCGTCCTGAGGCGAGCCTTGTAGAGCTTGGGGTGTTGGCGAATCTCATTCGGTACCTCATTTATGTCACGGGTACTTGTGACCATGTGCGGGTGCGGAATACGCACGTCCGCTGCCTGGAGGACCTGATGCTCCTCATCGCCCTTGCCGACAAGCTCGATACGCGAGGGGTTCTGAGTAACCCGGCTGATGGCCTCAGAGGGATTAGCAACATCCTTGGCAAGCTGCTTGTGTTCTAAAGCCGGGGCAGCGGAGAAGACACGGCCAGCGTCAACACGGTTGAATTGGCGGGACTCAGAGACGGGATAGAAGATTTGAGGGTTGGTGAGGCGGTGGACGGGGAGGTCGTTAATTTCTTCATGGGCCTGCTCGGGAGGCGTTACGGGAATCATTTCATGAATTGCACGAGCGTAAGGCACAGCCAAGGGTTTACCCTGAAACAACAAGTCTGTTAGTTGCGTTCGACCAAAGTACAGGCAGCATGATCAGAGCTTGTGATAGTAAAAACAACAAGAAAGAATCGGTGTATATCAGAAAAATAGGCGTTGTAACCATTCCCAGTCAACTGGGTCATAAAGACTAATCGAATTTATAATTTTTCTCATCATTGCACACCGCGGGTATGTCCGCTTTGAAAGGCAGAAGGGTAGGAGGGGGAACGCATTGGTGATGACTTGGAAGGATCTGTAAACATACCTGTTTCTCCATCCGCTTTTCTAACTCGACCAGCCGGACTACAGCAGCGACTCTCCTCATGTCGACCTTCAGCTCGACACTGACAGCACGCACGCTCTTTTTATTTATTACTACCCGGTTGTAGATCTCCGTCCGCAGCTCCTCACTGAGAATGCTCTCTGAGCGGTAGGCAGGATTTGCCGGGAAAACTCTGTTCTCGACAACCGGCGAATCCTTGAGTTTGGGATTGGTCCGAATGAGGTAGTTTGTTGAGCCTGGAGTATGGGTTCTCAACTTAGCTGCGTCGGTGTTGAGCCACGCAAACATCTCTCTGCGACGTCTAGTAGTTTGAGGGGCCGGCGTGGACGAAAATGACCGACACGAACGCCATGACTCCTGTGATGAGGGGCATGTGGTAGCTAGCCTGGGAAGATATGTGGAGGAGGATGAGGTAGATGATGTGGAAAGGTAGGGGAGGAGAGAGTTGGAGACGACTGAGTTCTGTATTCGGGGTGCCATGTTGTTTAAGGGGAATAGGGGGTGAGTGGGTAAGAGAACAAGGATCTCCGACGTCAATGGACCAGATTCCGAGTAGAAACAATCCAATTGACGGGGTAGGGAGTTTAGTGGAGGAGGGGAAGGAGGAGGGTGGATGATATGGAGGTTCAGGATGGAAAGAAAGGCACGAACTCGACGGAAGAAAAGGAAGAAACTTTTCGGCGCGGTGGTGGTCACGTGAAGCTACCGGTGGTGCGGCGCTTGGCCCGATTGGGGAGGAAGCTCTGGACGGTCCCGCCAGCAATTCTCACTATTGGCTTCGGCTTCATTCCCCACGGGCTCCCAACAGGAACTACGAACTTTCTCCCTCCAGGTTTATGACTGTCAAATGTTCTTAAGTGAATGACCGGTGCAATTCCATTGTTGAAGCTGGTACATGTAGAGCAATTTCCCGCGAAGTTAAAGGAAGGGAAGCAAATTCAACACGCCTCTTTTCCAGGGTAAATTCCCGCTCATCAACAGATCCCCCCCGGCAAAGGGAACAAATAGAAGAATCAAAGACTAGCAAAGGTGACGAAGAAATAAATAGGGTAGTAATAGCCTCCATGACTCCCATGTAACCCAAGCAATGACGGAAGAGCAACAACGCTGCAAAACACGATGCGAATAAGGGACGGAACAATGCGCTACAATCCCAGGCGGCCAGCAGCAGCCAACACATGCCTTGGGATACACCCCTTGCCCAATGATCAGAGTAAGACAGATATATGACGTCCCAGAAATGTATCTCAAGTGTATAGGTACCCAGGTAAACGCCCCGCACAATGATTAGCTGTTGTCCAGATGAAGGCTGCAAACAATGTATCACAACACAGGAGGGTGGTCGGTAGCTCAAACAAGATCCAGTACAAAGAATTTCCCTTCGGGATTCCCGTCATTTCTGGCTTTCTGGTCTCGGCCAACGCATCCTTCTCCCATCCTGCATGATTGAGGGGGTCAAACAAAGGGCTGAAAGGTTTAATCAAGCAAAATGATCGGCAATTTCCCACATGTAGACAATAGCACGCACAGAAGAATGAAGAAGAACGGACAGACAATCGAAGCCTCCCCTCTCATAGGAAGGAAAGACAGAGAAAGCAACTATTAGGAAAACATCTGAATAGATAACGCAACAACACGGCACAGGGTATGAAGGTAGTGCAAACATGACGACAGGGCAAGTGAAACAAGCGAAGTTGGCAATGAAAATCCACACGGGCTCCTGGACGTATTAAAGAGAAACCCATACGCGCACAAATGCAATGTCTCCCACCCAAGAAAAGAAAAAAAAAAAAAAAAAAACAAACACAACATGTATAGTAACAGCGCCCCTGATCCCATGCTATCGGAGTGCACAGCAAACGAATGGAATACAATCATAGAAAGCAAAGCTGAAAAAGCGAGAGCCCCGTGGTCCTTACTCCCAGGAGGAAGGCGAGCCTCCAAATGCTGATCTAGCTCATGAAATAGAAACAATAACAACCCCCAATGCGCCAGGTAGCCCAGTGATCATCAAGCATGTCGGACATTATCTCCACAGAAACGTGCGCCTTCCTACCGACCCATCATATAATCCGGGTAGTAGGAATTGTAGCCACCCACATTGGGTCCCGAAGCTCCGCCGGTGAGCTGAGGTGGCGGGGACACCATTGCGTTCATCGGATTTGTCCGAATTCCAAGTCCCGAATTGGCATTGAAAGTACCGTTGTTGGGCAATGGTGCATTTGGACTCCCGGAGGGATGCATGGCACCGTTGCTCCTAACTGCCACGGGAGGGACCAAGCCTGGAGGCGCAGACAGGCCCGGTGGCGGTCCACTGACCGTCGAAAACATGTGGTTATGCATTCCACCGAGACTGCTACCCCCAGGCACACCACCTTGAGAGGCCATGGCATTAGACGCGCTCATGGAGCCGGGCTGTCCTGATCGGACCCCGAGGGGGTTCTTCGAGAAGCTTAGACGGATGCCGGTCTTGATGCTGTTGGATAACTTCACGCCATACAACTCGTTCAGGGCTTTGCCAGCGGTGCCCACGTCGTCAAATTCCACGAAGCACATCGGCCCATTCTGTTTGTTTCGGAAGCACAAACGCTTGTATCCACGCTGCTTAGAGAACAGAGCCTTCAGCTCTTCCTCGGAGGTATCGGGGGGTAAGTTCCCCACGTATAATGTATTGCATGGAGGGTTCATGTCGTTCGGATTGGCTGCAGGGAGACTATGGCGAGGTACATGCGGATTACCATAAGGGAACACATGGCCCGTCCCGATGTTATTGTTCATCGGTTGTGGAAAGGTCGATGGAGGGTTTGGAACGCCGACGTGCGCGTTTCCTCCTTGGTTGTAATTCGGTAGTGGAGGGGAATTGAGATTGCCACCCAAAGACATGTTGGCAAACTGGTTACCCAGAATCTGAGGGTTCGTGGAACGTCTAGGGACAGAGACAGAAGACGAATGCCCGTTTTCGGCATAGCCCACGGGATCCTTGAGCAGCTCTCCAGTATCTTCATCAATATCCTGATCAATCATCGATTTGCCACTGACTCGCGGGAGCTCGGGAACGCCGTTGCCGATCGGGGACTGGGGGGAGAAGAGACTGTGGAGACGGGAGCCAGGTTCAGATGGGGGCAGGGTATCACCAGAGGTAGCAGTGGTCGCGTTCAACTTCTCCAAGGTCTGGAAAGTCCCGTTGAAGCGCGACGACTGTCGCGGTAAACCTCCATTAACATGTCCCAGCAAGCCCCGAGTCGCGGTGTGGTCAATCGTGTTTCGTCTGGGCACCAAGGAGGAACCAACTGAGCCGTAAAACATTTCCACAATCATGGTGGCGTCGTTCTTCGAATTCGGTTTGCCGTCGAGAAGTGCTCGTGCTTCTTCCGCAGCAGCCAGGGTGCTGAAGCGCGCGACCGCACACAAGTATCCGTTGTCCTCCGGAGCGTCGGAAGGCACGAAGTCGGCATCCACAAAATCTTTGGCAAAGAGGAGCATGCTGCGCAGAGCATCGCGACTGGTGTTGCGCGGGAGTTTGCGCATAAGGATCGCGCCGCCACCTGTTCCATTTGTCGGTCGGATAAAGCCATTCAGGCCCTGCGCCGACCGATCCGAGTCGCCCAGACGCATAGCAGATGAGGAAACGTTGTCAAAAGTGGAAGAGGGGCCGATCGGGGAAAAAGGGTAGGTAAACGAAGGACCTAACGAAGTTGGTGCCTGCGATGCGGGCGTATTGTACACGTCGGTCGACATCGCATTCTGGGCCGTCGCGGGCGCTTGAGAGGCCGAAAGCGGCTGGTGGGTAGGCGACGCGCCCGAAGAGACCGAGGGCGTGCGCTGAGTAGTGCTGTAGGAGCCTGGACTCGTACGGGTTGACTGATTCGAACTGCCACTCATGCCTCACGGACCGAAATTCTAAAAGCGTCTGACTCGATCGATTAACCCCACGAGCGGACGGGAGCACGGGCTCCTCCAAGAAGGTAAGGGAGTGCGGGAGGCAACCGGATGACAGATGGGACAGAGGCTGGAGGGGCTCAGCCAGAGGAGTGTCAGGAACAAGTAGAAAATGTAAAATGGTAAATCAACCAGATTATAGGATCAGAATTCTGACGCAATCTCGTTGGGAGGAAGCAAAAGTGCGATGGATCAACACGCGCAATTGAACTCGCGGTATGCGTGTTTAAGGAGGTAAGGATGCGACGGACCGAGTGTCCGAGGGAGAGACAAGAAGTGTAGGCCACACACGATGGGAATGGAAAAAGGAAAAATGAATTGATAATCAAATGCAAAAGGAATGATTATGCGACTCAGTAATAAAATGTAAATGGTACAGGCAGAAGTTGGGAAGGTAGAGAGGTAGAGGTAGAATAGGGGAGGATGGAAGACGCGAACGGGAACGGAAAGGGAAGATGGCGAAGGATTGGGGGGGAGTAGGAGAAAGTTGGGGGAGGGTGGGTGAGGAAGAAGGGAAGAGGAAGAAGAAAGAGAGGAAGGGAAGGACGGCGAGGACCAAGACCGTTCGGGGGAAGGATAAAGTTAGATTGGGTTGAGTTTTGGGGAGTGGGAGGAGGAGGGAGGGAGGGAGGAGGGGGGGAGGGAGAGAGATTGGTAGCAAGTCAAGTAGTAAGTAGTATTTAGTGGGTTTAGTGAGTGAGTGGTGGGAAGGGAATGAGTGGGTGGTGGGAAGAAAGAGGGAGGGGGAGGCGCGTTAAGTAAGTGCCGTAGGCAGTCGTTGGTAGAATGCGTGGTGGTAGTGGTTTAGTTCGTGGTGTAGTGCAGTAGTAGTTGTTTAGTAGTAGAGGACTCAATGTAATGAATCAAATCAATGTCCAAGGTGTTTTGTAGTAGTAGTACCCGAGAATCCGTTAATCGACTGGAAACGAGATATTTCTGACAGTAGTAATCAATGAAAAAAGAAATCGATAGATCGATTGTTAGGTGGATGAATGTATGGAATGGGTAGATGATGACGATGAAGATGGGGGAGAAAGGGAAATGGAAAAGGGAATGAGAAGAAAGAGGAAGAGGAAGAGGAAGAGGAAGAGGAAGAGGAAGAGGAAAGGCTGCCGTACAATCGGCGTAAGGAACCGTAGGAACTAAAACTGGAAATGGTGAGAAAGGATCCGGCGAAATGGGTAGTAGTGTATCTATGGGGTAGATAGTAGTAGTACGTAGGAGTAGGTGTAGTTATCTGGTAGTACTGCGTAGACAGCAATAATCCTATAAATGCGAATAAAAATAAAAAAAATAAAATAAAATAAAAAAATAAATGGAAATTAATAATAATACTACCACTAACTAATCATAAGGTGAAGAAAAAAAAGATGAATGAACGTCAAGTTCCGGAACGGTCCTTTTTTACATTTAGGGAGTGGACTGGCCGGTCCTTTTGGACTTTTAGGGGGGGGGGGAAGAGAATACTAGGAAACCGAGTAAAGTTGAAGGGGGCGAAAGAGGGAAAGGAAAGGAAACCAAAGCGTCAGAGAGAGAGAGAGAGAGAAAGCAAGATTGACTGAGGACGGCCGACCCGACCGTCTTCTGTCTCGTCTGGTCTGGTCCACGGATCGAGACTGGCTCCGTTCCATGAAGCGATGGCCAGTCGGGAGTCCCTTGAGGGCCTGTCGACTAATCCCCGAACTAGAACGGGTCCAAAAAGGAAAAAGTGACTAAGATGCGCCGTCCAACGAGCGCTTGCAGCTGAAGCGCGACCCGGCAGTTTTAAGATGACACGACGCGCTATCAATGGAGTGCCAGCCGATCCCGTGCTGATGCTTGCTTTGGCGTGCTTTGGATCTGTCCGGTGGCCGTGTGTGCCTGGAAAAGTTGTTCTTCATCCATGCATCGATCAACCAACTTCTGTTTAGTTAGATCCAAATTCATATGGTCTGTTTCGCTGTTGTCGAACGATGAATTCACCTGTTTCTATCTAGGTGTCATTGGGGATTATCTTCGCATCCAGACCATCCAGGAAGACCACCCGATTGCGGCAGTCCTTCACGCAAACAACCGAAACAAAGGAGGGAACAAGCATCCGGATGCGACATCACAGGTGCGTGTCCTGAACGCCCCAAGGCGCGTGGCAAATAGGGCAGAAGGAGCCCTCTCTCAAAGGCAGAGAGATTCACATTCAACACAACATCCAATCTGCCTAAGTTCAATTGCCGAGGCCATAGTTATGATACATTCATTCAATTTTTGGGCTTCTCAGGGAAACTCATGGTTGGATATTCAATCTAGATAGCAACAACTATCACTTGTAAATTACAATCGAACCACAAGGGTGCGGACAGCAATAAAGATGAACAACAACATCAACGTCAAGAACCTACAGTAGTCATGAAGATCCAGCCAGCATCTACCAACCTACGCATCTATCCGATTGTACCAGTCAGCTCAAACGGCTGAGAATCGATTACTATTCCCCCCAGTCACTGGTGGGGTTCTCGCATAATCCTCTCATACAGTTGGCCATCATCTCATGCCTGCAATTATGGGGCTATACTGCAGCCTTCCCCTTCACCTCCCAGTCCTACCTCGAATACTACCATGAGTCGTCGTAGTCCTCCTCTTGACTCATGGCCCCCCCCCCCCCCCCCCCGAGATATATGACGAAGACCTTTCCCGTGTGATAAAGGCAAAATCATCCCAACCGTGTTTATAGGAACCCTATTTACCCCATCCACCTGATCACGGGGAGGGTTATCGCTCTGTACGACACAAAAGCCACCCCGCGGAGCATACCCATGGATGTCGAAGAGCCATCCTGCCTTACAGCCCGAAGCCTTCCTAGCTTACTGCACATAATCAAACAGAATCAAGCGATCCACTCCGAAGTCCACAAGTAACCGTTCGAATTAAAGTCCAGACTCGTACTTAGATGTAAGGCTACAGATCTAGTCGTCTAGAGCACAATGTTTTTCTTTGCCCCAATGTGCTTGTTTCTGGGTACATGACGTTAAAACCTCCGAATTGCTTGCCCTCGAAGGGCTCATTGAGTGACTGCCTCGGCACCATGGACCATGGACGGAATGTATAGGCGATGCTCTCAGCTGACCGTATGAAGGAAAAATAAAATAACAAGACTCATCATCACCCTGACAAAATCGGTGGCAGATTCATAGGCGCAAATGCTTACCATCTTCTCTTCTTCTGCTAAAATCAAGTCTCATTCTTATTATCTGCACAACTAGCGATTAGCGCGCATAGCAAGCTAGTCAGTTATCCTGGGTATTGGATAGTCAGAATCAAACCAGGATGTCCTTCCTGGATGTTTTCTGGCTTCAAATTAATCCAGTCCAGTTAACCAATCAAAATATTGATCAATCAGGCATAAAGTTTACGTCTAGCTGAGACGAGACCTCCCCATACAAGAGCTAATATGAACACACATGAGCGTCGATAGGGGTGCACGGAGACATGGTACTCCGCAAACACTAGGGAGAAGTAAATATGAGGGGGGGAAAAAATATGACCATGCCTTGGTCTTCTTCCTCACTACGAAATACCGTTCATCCCCGGCACCCACTGGACACCTGAAAGGATTCCCGTTCCCCTCTCTCTCATTGTCCCAAATCCCAATCATTGCCCGCGCAATGAGGGTCAGTCATGGACCAATCCCGTTCTGCGGGCAAGGCACAGAACGCACCAGTCCCGAGTCCAGACGTCTGACGGACCGTGATGATTGGCTGTCGTAGGGAATTTCAGGTGGGAAGATCAGCGTCAGAGTTTGTCCTTCCCATGGATCTCTGGCAGCCACACCACCAGGGCCCGCCTCTCCCACTCATCCCTACTGAGGTACATGATTGTACCAGGTTGCCGCTCATCCCGGGATAGATGACGGCTGAGGGAGTGGCACCGATGACTCGGGATTTACAAGGTATCATAGCAGAAGCATAGGACTAGATGTCAGCAACGCGCTATTTCATCTAGATGCTATATGCAGGTTAGGTAATGTATACGCCAGGTTTGCGAGAGGGGTGGGAAATTCATTTTTCCAAGTTGGACTCGTCGTTCTGATACGTGGATGTAAGTTAGACTGATAAGACGCGATAGATAGTACCTAAAGTACACACACCTCTTAAGTTTCATCTATTATCCTTCTGTCTGAATCTCTCACCACATTCTTATTCACCGAAACTGAAGACGTGCATCAAGGATCAAAAGCCCTTTCATTGTCGCAGATGTGGTTGGCTCGGATTGGGCGATCTGGGCGTTGCTTCATGACAGTGCTGATCTAACGGAAAAGCCAAGTGGTGATGCCTGCATGGTCACCTGCCAGCCTTGAGCGCAAGGGAGCAGCCATGCAGTGATGCACAAAGTACGGAGCTGCTCGGGACTTTCTGCTCCCCCCTGTCCTTATTAACTAAGCAAGATAATGAATGATTTGATCATATTGAGCCCGCTGTTGTTCAGCAAAAAGGAACACAAGGTATCTCTTTATCTCTATACAGAGTAGATCTACCAGACTGCGTCTGGAAGTTTCAGCACGACCGTAGCATAGAAATGTTGCCCTCTTTCTCTGCCACTGTTTCCGCCTCGCGGATGGAAACCCTGACTGATCCCGGAGGTGGCTTTTAGCATTATTTTAGCAGGCTCAAGGAACGTATGCCTGCCCATGCAGCGCGGAAACCTCATCCCTGCCAGTCATAATCGCCATACCTAATATGAGGCATCTGGCTGCACGTTGGAACGCTTATACCGAGAAAAGGGGGAACAGAGGCCTGATAAAACGTATATTGTATATCACACAAGCACAGAGGCCTCAGGCAGCACGTAATCGACTCACATAATGTACATAAATTCTCGACCCATAAATCAATTCCAGGAGAATAGCTCTCAGTAAACGCCATGAGTAATGCCGGTAGCATGATATTGAAAAAGAAAAGAAAAGTTCTTCCACTCCGGAAAAGCCCTCGCCAACGTCCCCCGAAATGACAGTATTCGCCTCACCCTATCCGAGCAACGGAAGCTCGAAGGTAAGTGCACCGTGCAAGTATACAGATGTCGAATTGAACAGATATTCATGCCTCAGTTTTTCACATTCTTGCTTTCTTTCACAATCCCGGCCTGTAGTAGATACCGAATATTAGTCAATCAATGTCGTAACCCAGGTCCATATCCCCTTCCTACTCGCGGACATGCTTGTATACAGCGGCAGGGCAACGTACGAGGCTTAGTAACTTCCAAACGCCATCACTGGGCTGTGCGCCAACACCGATCCAGTACTTGGCTCGAGATCGATCGAGTGAAATCTCCTTGTATGCTTTGGCGGTGCGGGCCTCCTTCTCGGACAGGTTCGTAGGGCGCTGCGGGATAGGGTTGAAGGTACCGATAACTTCAAGAGGTTTCGAGTCGCGAGCCGACCTATAAAAAACAATCCCCATTAGCATAAGATCTCATACTCCTCTTAGAAAACCCCAAATGAATCGCTCGCGGAACGCGATATACTGATCCCCGGGATCCATAAAAAATTTACCTACCGTGCCTGAGCAACAACGATGTTGTAGAACGGCTGGTGCCGGTTTCCAAAGCGGGAGAGGCGAATGCGAACGACCATCTTGACGGGCAATTTCTGCAATTGGGGAGCGAAAAATAAGATGAGCGACTGCACAGCAAAAGGGCAACTTGATCAAGCTCAAGCAGGCCAGAGTCTCCGACTCCGCGGCAGTTTCCAGCCTGGTCGGGAGATCTGTCGGGCCGAGAAGTGCGGAATTCGGATTAGCGTCGGTCAGTGGGGAGGGCCCGATAACAATGATGCAATGGCAATTTACACCACTTTTAAAGAATCGCTCCTCCTAGCAATATTTCCTACACTTATCCATTGCATTGAGTATATCGGAGTGCTGCTTCATACTCTCCACGCTCAACCTTGCACTTACAAGGCACCATTGTATGTTCCGTGCTGCACTCCCCAGGCGGAACCCTATCCCCGCATTATTTCGGTACTATAGTAGATCCGCCAAGATGTCATTGAAGGTGTGCAATAACTTCACTATTTCCGCCTAAGAAAAAGAGTACCTCAGGCTGACGAGAAACCAACAAACAGGCCATCTCATCAAAAGATGCCGCATCTCTTGATAAAGACCTCATGGAAATAGGTGGCTGGTCATTGGACCAGTTAATGGAACTAGCGGGCCTCTCTGTCTCTCAAGCAGGTGAGAATGCGACACCTTCTAGCATAACATGTAAAACCATGCGCTCTAACATCTCAGTCTACCGCATTCATCCACCAAGCTCGGGTAAGGATGTTTTGGTTATCTGTGGCCCAGGAAACAACGGTAGGCCTCAACCGACCCTTTATTTCGATCAGTCACAGAACAAACAACGATTCTAACCTCCTCTCAGGAGGCGATGGCCTAGTAGCCGCACGCCATCTAGCTCACTATGGGTACAAACCCTCAGTTTACTATCCAAAGCAGGGCAAGAATGAGCTCTACCAGGTAAGCCCTCAGTAATCGCCCTACATGTCATTGACATGACCCGAAACATGAAGTTGGGACGCCCACCCTGCAAACATATATACATGTTACACACATCACTCTCGAGTCACACACAACTCAGCCTAACCTCATCAAACAACACAGCGTCTCAAAACGCAACTCGAGAACCTCTCCGTCCCATTCATCTCCGACCTCCCCGTAGCCATCAAATCCGCCGACTTCCTCGTCGACGCCATCTTCGGCTTCTCATTCGGCGGACCCCTCCGCGAACCCTTCCCAACCATCATCTCCCAAATCGAAACAGCCAGTATCCCCGTTCTGAGCGTCGATGCGCCCAGTTCCTGGGACATTGAGAGCGGGCCACCCAAGGAAGGCCCGGGATCGAAGTTCATGCCGGAGGCGCTCATTAGTCTGACTGCGCCGAAGCCATGCGTGAAGTATTACAAGGGACGGCATTTCCTGGGTGGACGGTTCCTGACGAAGAGTATTGCGGATAAATATAAATTGGATCTGCCGGAGTATCCGGGTATCGAGCAGATTGTCGAGGTGGGGGTGGATGCTGAGGGAAAGCTTTGAAGGCTGGAGCGGGTGATTCATGAATAAATTGGCCTATCTGCAAGGCTTAGGTACATAGTAGATGAAGGTCAGAATAATAGTGAGTTTACATTGTTGTTACATCAATTGCGTAGCGCTATACGAAACCTAATGTTAGCGATGAATATCTTGAGAATATGTCCAATATGGAATTCATGCAGTGTAGTGTGTATCGCTATCGTGAACTAGAGATGTATACGTGCTATAGACAGCAGTAGTGAAGCAGAACACAGATGCTCCATGAGGTATAAAATGTCTTAAGACCCGGGCCTCAACATGCTATACCTTCATGATAACGACTCCTTAATCTCGCCTATGATACCCTTGATTCTTGGTTCTTTACCAAGACCCGAGCTTGAAATCTTCTTCAAAACATCTCCAACATCGTACACTTCCTTGGCCGCAGTCCTGACTTCTTCCCCTAGCCCCTTGACCAAAGTTCCTAGAGCCACAAGACCGCGGTAGACTGCTTCAGAATCCTTTTCACCGGTAATCATTGTCGTTAGCTCGCTAAGAAGGACCAGAGCCTGTTCCGATGACTCAGGCATCGATTCTCTGCCCGCAGAGGTGAGGTAAACGGCAAAGTTGATGTAGAGGGTGGTAATGGCAATGGTGAGATTTCGGTTCGGCGTCGTCCCACTATTGGTTAAAGCGGACTTGACGCCGCTCAGGATTTGCTCAAACCTGCTAGTGGCTAGGTCACGTCCCGCGTCCGTTTCGAAAAGGTTGGCGAGCATGCGTATTGACAGCATCGCATTATTAACATTGAATGGTGAGTCAAACACCCCACTAGACTGGATGCCTGAGATGAGATCCTTGCCATCGTAATCGGCCGTGGCAGTCACGGGAGTGGCAGCGGCGGACAAACGGAGAAGATCGAGACCCGGCAGTCTGCTTGCGACAGGCCAGACGGTTGCAACCTTGTATAATAAAACAACACCAGCCTCCACTGCCGGAGACTGCTCGACATTTGAAGACTCCAACTGACCACACAGGGTTGCCACCGTCTCCATCTCCGAAGGGCTGAGCGACAACTCTTTCGATCCGGAGGATATGACGTGTTGGTTCAGCTCTTGCAACTTCTTGGCGATCAATTTGAGGTTGGCAGATTTGATGGAAAGATAGGTCTTTTGCGGAAGGACCTTCGGTCGAGCCTCCGGAGCAGGAGGTGACTGCGCATCTTCGGGACGATAACGCCTCTCTTGACCCCAAGGATCGGCTCCCGCAGGCGTCGGACCCTGTGAGGTCTGTCCAAGTGTTGCACCTTGTGTATTTTGAACGATGAATTGAGCGACTTGATCAAGGTAGTTCATCGACAATTCGTTGTCCTGGATGAACTTGGTCGCAGCCTCGTACGGGTTTTGAGAGACGTTGTATGGCAATTTGAGGGGAGGTTTGCCGTCTTCCACGTCAACGTCGAAGACATAGTCGTAGTCTTGACCCAGATACTCCGTTTTCCTTCCACTGCTGGCAGCGGAATCAACTACCGTACCAACTGCAACCCATTCCCGTGATGCCGCTGACCAAGTGTGAGCAGTAACGCTACCATCGTCCTCACGGATCATCTGTACCTGCCCGTCCTTGGTTCCCGATTTCTGCCTGAGAAATTCCGTACCCGGAAGCTGATCTTTGTTGATCTTACCAACCTGCTGCTCTGGGATTGCCGACTCCTTGACAGTCCTTTCGAACTGTTGTACTACTTCTGCGCTTGCCACGCGTTCCTGGCTTCTGCTAAAAACGCGTGTGATGCGGTCACTGGCTCCTGTGACAATGTCGCCGGTCTCCTTGCATACCGCAACGCTCCAGACGGAGATCGCAGGGTGCGTGATCGTCTGTACGCACTGCGTACCATCCCAGATCCTCACCGTCCGATCTTCTCCAGAACTGACCAACTCACCTGAGGGCAAAGCGGCCAGCGAATAAATAAAGCTCTCGTGGCCATGCACCTCCCCGACGAGTTGGCCTTGTATGGTAAAGAGACGAATCACTCCATCGTTGCTCGCCGAAGCAAAGTGTGCGCCAGTGGGGTTGGAGGCGGGAACCTTGCAAAGAGCTCTCACAACGTCCTGGGAATCTTTGATCGTTCGCAGCAGAGTGCCGGAGGTGTTGAAAATGCGTATCATTTTATCCGCGCAGCCTGGAGAGTTGTTAGCATATGCATGGAATGGTCCATCCGTCATATATGCAGGGGTACGGCGCGCGCTTACCTGTAATGACAGTATCCTTGTCATAAGCAAGCACCGTCCAAACACTTCCTTGATGACCCTCCAGCACGACATCGGTTTCCCATTTACCCACCTTCCATAGCCTAGCTGTCGAGTCCCAGCTTCCACTGACTACCCATCCGCCATCATGTGACACATCCAGCGCACAGACATTATGTGTATGGCCCAAGAGCATAGCATCCGCGTTATCATCGGCAGCTTTGCATGGTTGTCTGGCTTCAATGATAGTGTCTTGACCACCGGAGAGGACAAGTCCATCAGGAAACTGGGGGGTAGGTGGGTAGTATGCCAAAGCGTTGATGAAGGCCTGGCCGTGAGAGGTGATGGTGTAGTCATATGCCGGAGGTGGGGTAGAGACTAGTTTCCAGAGTCGGACTGTTGCATCTCGGGACGCCGAGAATATAGCACTGGGATTCGGAAAGGCCACGGCGCGAACCTGAGAGTGAGAGAAAGAGGCGTCAGTGGGCGACAATGGAGGGTTGAAAGGTGAAAGGTGGCCAGCGTTAACAGCCGGGACGTTCTTACATCATCGCCGTGGCCCTCCAGAGAAGCGGAGATCTTGAACTCAGGCATACATAGACCAGTGGAGAGAATTAGGGAAATATAGATCCCAGTAGAAGGGGTTGAGGATGAAGAGGGGGAACTGGCAAGAGCCAAAAGGATGAAATGGAGGCACCAAAGATGGCCGGGAGGGTTTCAAGGCACCTTTGGGAAGAGAGGGAGGGGGGGAGTTCCTGCTTAGTAGTACTAGTTGACCTGGAGTACCTGAGGAGCTGCTGCTTGGAGACTAAAGGGAGGGCCATGGGACCATCTGGGGCAATCACGTGGGCGGTGGCTCGCCAGTGTATTCGCCGGGAAGAAGTTGCTAGAATCCAAGTCTTGATAAGCCATGTTACTAAGTAACTATTAGCTAGTTAGTACTATCGGGTTGGGAATGGAGCTATACCCTGGCTTGACCGGGTACTCGACTAGTGGCCATTCTGCATTCACTACTAGTCTTAGTTTGCATTGGGTTTCCATAAGGAACAAATGCTGATTTCCATCCTGAATTCCACATCACCATTTCTTACGAAGATGCCCTGAGATGGCACTCCTCAATCAGGGACCGCATCGCATGTTAGTAGTGCAATACCAATAGGGTCAATGAGAGTGCATAATCCCGTATGCCATTGTTCTGGACCCAACACGCTTCTGCGCGTCGTTCTAGTATCAAACTATCGAAGTTCATGAATGCATCCAGATTGCCTATTTGGGAACAGATTAGGGACATTTACCCCTCACGTGCCGTTTGACACTAGTCCCCGATAGGATTAGGGCGGCTAACGGCCCGGCGACGATTCGCGTGAATATCAAAAAGAAAGTCCCAAACTTCCCCCCAACCAGCTTCATCTCCATCGTTCTCGTTATTCCGGGCTTGAGTCCCTCTCCACCGTGTCTGTAGAAGCGCCGGTGGCTCATACATCTGTTCGAGGGTTCCGTTTTAACTGGGAGACCCGACTTCTCTATCTAATTCCTTGTCCTGCCTTTCCTTTCTTCCACCTCCAATCATTCTAGAGCGACCCCGCTACCTCGGGCTGATTGATGACTTGACGAGACTGACGAATTTCCTTGTGTACTTCTACGCTGTGTTCATCTCTCGTGTCTTCTCTTTCGCTGCTACTCTGCGCTTCATCTGCGACAGTTTAGAGACTGTTTCTTTCAGTCTCAACTGAACACCTTATCGTCACTTCATCTAACGGCCACTACTATCGCATGCGACACTCATCTACTTGCAATTGACTCTGTACATTACCTCAAGTGAAGCTTATATACAATGGCGTCAGGTGCGGTGGATACAGCGGCCCATTCTTCAAAGCAATTGGCTATTGACACATTCCAGACATTCCCAAAGTTGTGCCGTTGACCTGCCACGGACACTCACGTCCCGTGCCGCACATCAACTTCTCATCCACCGTCGAGGATGATCAGTACTACCTAATCTCTGCCTGCAAAGGTGAATATCCTCAGAACCGTTATTAACACCCTATGCTGACATCTACCAGACAACAATCCCATGTTGCGGGATGGCATAACAGGTGACTGGTGCGTGTTCCCCGCATTGAATACTCCGCACACCGCACATGCTTACCATCAATGTCATTTAGGATTGGAACCTTCCTCGGCCACAAGGGCGCAGTATGGCAAGCCCGGCTCTCGACAGATGCGAATCTGGCAGCAACCGCAGCTGCGGACTTCTCCGCGTGAGTACTTACCTACCCACTTCAACGCACGTCGCCGTCGCATCTCACTAACTTGCCAATTTTCTCCCCATACAACAGTAAAATCTGGGACACTCACACCGGCGAATGCAAACACACCCTCCAGCACTCGCACATCTGTCGCGCAGTAGCGTTTCCAATCCAGCCTTCCCCCCAGGTCGTCGCAACAGGTGGCTTCGAGAAGAAGCTTCGCATCTTCGACCTCACTCGCAGTGGGGGCAGTAACAGCTCCTCACCGACAAGTGCCACCCCCAACACCGACGCCAGTCCTTCCGCAGTAACAAGCTACGAGATTGGCCCCGGCGTTCACGGCGGAACCATCAAATCGATCGTCTGGAACCAGGACTACAACATCCTCACGACCGCCGCGGAAGACCGCAAGATCAGATGGTGGGATCTTCGCTCGCGCCACCCCGTCGTCGAATACGCCGTGGAAGGTACCATCGGAAGTTGCGAACTGAACTCCCTCGCCGTCAGACCCAACGACGCCGGAATCCTTACCGTCGCGGCCGGCAGATCCGTCTATCTCTTCGACGGCCTAAGCCCCGGTCGTCTCCTGAAGAAGATCGATTCCCGCTACGAGGTCGCCAGCGCAGCAGTCAACAATGAAACAAGCAGACTGGTCACGGGTAGTGCCGAGGATACCTGGGCGAGAGTATACGACGTCCGCACGGAGGAAGAGCTGGGTACATTCCATCCCCCACCCTTTAATACCCCCCATCATTTATCACCGTTCACTTCAATGTGACTAACAATCCGCTCGCAGAGGTCCAAAAAGGTCACCACGGTCCGATCTGGTCCGTCAGTTTCTCCCCTGACGGCAAACTCTACGGTACAGGAAGCGAGGATGGAACGATCAAGTTGTGGAAGGCTTGCAGGGAGCCGTATGGTCTCTGGCGGTGATGGATCGAAAGAGCGGGAAACCATCTACTCACATATTGAGATGTACTAAAAAAGAGAAATACAACACGAAAGCGATCCTTCCCATTTGCCGAGCTGTGGTGGCATGGATCTGCTTATACACTACGCAACTGCGGCGGCACGCATATTACCTTGATGTAGATATTCGGAATATAGACACCATGGCCATGTTGTTATTATACCCGCAGCAATTAACAGGCGATACGCCATAGTTATGGTATGGTCATCTGCTTGCCTTCGGAATCCTTTGGTTTTTATTCAAGACGTCTTTTGTATTCCAACCGGGAGTGATACTAGTTACATGTTATGAGAAGGAAAGCAAAGCTATCACAAGCCCTCGCAAGTGGATGTGAATCGGCAGACAGGAGTACTCAAAATCGAAAGCGAGTCTTTTACTCAATCATGTCAATATCATCATCACCCGCAGCGGGCGCAGAAGCCGGCGCAATTTGCTGAGGCTCGTCAGGGACAACTTTATCGGCTGCGCCAGCACCAGCGTTACCGGAGCCACCCCAGTAATCGTCCATTTCTTGGTCGAGCTCTTCCTGTGTCTTTCTGGGCCGTCCGTTGACCGTGCGGCGGCTGTCGCCCCTGTTCTCACCTCCACCGCCCTGGCGGCGCCCGTTCGTAGCGCCGCGGTTGCGAGTCGGCGACCGCTGACCGGGAATGTATCTGTCAATGTGCTCGGGAGCAGGTTTGGAGACATCACTGCGCCGGTACCCGCCGCCACCACCACCGCGACGACCACGACGACGGCGTGCACCTCCATCAGGACTGCCGCTTCTACTACCGGGGCTGAGACTCCGTGCGTCGCGGTCACGAGGTCTCTCGACACGGTCGAATAGACTTCCCTTCGAGCGTTCCACGTTGTCAAATGGGTTGCGGTCGCGTCTTCCGGCGCCGGTAGAGATGAGTGTCAGACGGATAGGCTGGCCTTTGGCGTTTGCGCCGTCGAATTCCCTGATCGCGGTTCGGGCATCGCTGATATGGCTGTAGGTCACAAAGGCGACTCCTTCGGAACGTCCTGCCCGGTCGTAAACGAGAGAAACATTGCTGATTGGTCCGATGCGGGTGAACAGGTCCTTTTCAGATCGCATATGTTAGAGCCCAGTAGGAAAAAACGGTCGGGACTGGAACAAGGCCTACCTCGAGATCGGTTTCTGTAATGTCGTAGTGGATGTTCTCAACGCGAAGCTTAGCTCCGCTAGACGCAGTGCTGTGTCTGTACAGGTCAAACTCGTCCACCGAAGCGCATTGGATAAACATACTGTTCGGGAGAGGGGGAGTAGCGGTCGCCACGCGGACGTCGGGGGGCACGAGAAGGGCGTGCTGAGTAAGGTGTTAAGAATGACCCAACATTGATGAATTCCCATGGCTATCTGCCATATTGAGAGTCGTATAACGCACCATCTCTGTCGTCTTCGTACTTGTCATGAACCCAGTCACTGCACGTCGAGCCAACGCATTAGCGATCCCGTCACTCGGGCTGTAACACTGGACGGAAAACAATAAGGGGAAAGGTAATTACAGATCTAAATCAGGACGTTCTTCTCTGTGAGGCTGTTGCAGTCGAATAGAGAGAGAAGGTCAGCTCGAAGTCATACTAGGTATTCACGTAAACAGCTCCATCTTTCTGCGGCTCTTCGCGGCGGTCTGCCTGTGCGAGAGACGATGCTACGAGGCCAGCGAAATTTGCTTATCACGATGCGCGAGAAATGTTCGAAAAGAGACAAGGAGGGAGGACCTGCGGGAAGCAACACACTGGGTTAGCATCGACACGCGCAAAGCAGACGTAAGAAACAGCAGCAGCTCATAATGAGATGATGACAGGGATGAGAAAATACCTTTCTTACGCCATCACGGCGACGACCTTGAGGAGGGCGACGGCCGCGGTTCTGATTCTGCTTCTGCTACACGAAGGCAAGTCAGCGCACATGCAGGGTGTGATGTCTAGCAAACCATCTGAGACTTGTCATCCCGGAGGCGTTAGCAGGGACCTTACAGGACGCTCCGCGATAATCTCGTCCAAACTGCGGTCCATCTTGAACAGTTGGGGAGGGTGTTTGTCGGAATAGAGAATTGAAAATAACAATCGAGTACTATTGAAATTCACACTGTGGACGGGTGCGCAGTGGGAATTGATGGATGGACAGTAGAAAGCTGAATGAAGGTCGGAGATGAGCTTGGAATAGATCCATGCCGGACCGTGCCTGCTCAGACCGCCCGGCCAAGCAGCGTTATCACGTGATTGAGTACGTAGTATACAGCAGATGGCCATCTGCTTGCCTCTAATTACTGGCGGTGCGCGACCTGAATGTTCTAGAATCCAGTGGGGTACTGACATGAGATCGTACTCTATTTACAGGGACAGGTGTCATTATATTGGAATGAGTGCTTTGTTGGGAACGTGTGTATATGTAAACTACTTCTTCCCCGGAAGCTAAGCGTGCCCGCTCAGAACCGTCGAGAGCCCAATGGCAGGAAGAGAGGCGCAGACAAGGAGAAACTCATGGTTGTAATGCAAAAAGGAAGAGAAACTACGCCTCGGCTCATAGTCCTGTATGCATGGTCGAAAGCTCACCGAAGACACAACCCTCCCTTTTTGCTCCAGAAAACACCAAAAGCAACCTCCAGCAAGACTCTTCAGAAAGGTGACAAGCAAATGAAAAGAGGAAGAGGACCGAATCAGAAAGTAAACAAAACTCCGGCAGTGCAATGCAAACGTACTAGCCCATCAACTCCCACCATTCACAGGGTCGCTGTTGTTATGCTCTATCATCTTCTCCATGAAGCTGATGTAGTCATACTTGGGAAGGTCTCTGTCTTCTTGAAGATCCGGTCCGTTGTGCGGCGGCATAGTCTGGACTAGATGTTCGATTACCTCGTCGGGAATGAGAGAGTGTCGAAGGTCGAGCTCCGTGACATAAGGCTATTACAGAAGTCAGATTTTGAATGAAACGCAACACTTTGCAATTCTGACGGGATACATACCTTGCCATCCGCAACCTCGCGGAAACTCTGGTAGACTTGCTCGGCCGTGTTTTGATCCTCAGTAACACTGACCATGAAACGGATGAACTGCTCAAAGCTGACACCGGCATTTTGCGCAAGTCGAGCTGGTCCACATGTTTCCACGTAGACATCATGCATCTCCTCTTCATCGTATACAAGGCCAAGACTTGCGAGGGCTGCCGAAAATTCAAGCTCATGAAGGGTATTGGAAGCGTCGCGATCGAAATGCCTGAAGACAGACTCAAATTCCTCCAGTTGGATTGGTGTCAGGTTGGTCATGTTCCGAGCCACGAGTTGATTGTCAAGGAATGCCAGCTTTTTGGAGATGCTAGACTTGACCAAGCTCAGCTCATAAGAGAGTTCATCTAAAGTATATGTGGTGTAGTCGTTTTCCTCAATATTCGCCTCCGCACATTGCTCGTCCAGAGCCGCAATGGTATCTAAGAACGCATCGAGGGGAGGGAGGTTGTCATTGAGTCTCTTGACATGTGCTAATTGGTCTTCTACATCACCATCGAGACCAGATATTGCCAGAGACAGGGTCTTCAACGTTAGCGCAAAATCGTTGGCTTTGTCCGCAAACGATCGGCGGAGGGCATTCTTGATATCCCGAATGGTCTCGTTAATAAGCTGGCTACGTTCGTGCTCGTCACGAGTCAAGCCCTCCCACTCCTCATCGCAAACCTCCAGACTTAGTTCCTTTGGCGGTTGGTAAGGGCGCAATCGGTATGTGCTGAGTTTGGTCTTGATGTTACCGAGCAGGGCTGCGAGATCCGACTTTTCTGCAACCCACTGGCGCTTCTGGTTTCTTTTATACAAGGAGAACTGGTGGGCTTGCTCTTTCGCGTCCTTGTATGTACCTTCAAAGGAAGAGTTCTTCCATGCCTCACGTTGCACTCTGATAACGCGCAATAGTTCCCTCATTCTCCGCTCGTAGGAGTTCTGCATCTCCCATGCACCATGCATGTTGTTGATGAATTTCTCCACCCGACGTCCGGCATTCTCGACACGCTCCAGCTGCGAGAATGCATGGAACCAATAAGCGATGTATGTCATCAGTGACTTCTCATCAGGTCTGGCTTGATCGCAAACATCATCGACATCGAGCAAGTCAGGGATGCCTATTTCGTTAGCTGCGATGTCGAAGGCGAGTTTCATGTTACCCCGGTGGTCCTTCTTGTCCAGAGCATCGAAGTCAATCAGGTCTGGACGATGGATATCCAGAAGGGCACAGAAGGCCAGACCATCATTCCAGCTAGTGGAGAAGTCCCGGACTTCTACTCCTTCGTAACAAGCAGTCTTCCGTTGACACCACAGAAGGAGACCAGCCTTCGCGGTCATTCCCTCCGCGTTGATGTCGCTGATTGTGAATCGCAGAATGAGTGTCCATATCAAGCCCAGAATGATCTTCCGATTTCCATCCACAACATCCTCTGCTCCAATGTTCGTCATCGGGATCCGCCTTCCCTTGATGAAATCGAGACTCTTGTTGACATTTTCGAATTTCTGTACCCGCAACTTAGGCTTCGAGGCATATCGACCAAGTGACTCTCCACCTAGGATCTCGAGTAGATGAATAAGGATAACCTGAAGTTCCGATAAGAATCATTAGCAACCGGAGCTTCCCTCAGTTCGCCGCAGGGGTTGGCGCCCGAACAAGGACGAATGCAGGGGTGTACTTACACCATCGGAAAGGTCGACCACGAGGTCATCGATGAAGATCTTCCGCACCTTCAGCTTGTCATTGAGCCTGCAGACAAACCAGGGTCAGCTTACTCAATTTCGGGAGAGTGCATAAAGAGGGAAAACAAAGAAACAGCGAAAAAAAATATTTCGGGGCATGTGAGGGCAAGAGGGGTAATTGAGAAGGCCTCTTCCCCAGCATGCAATTAGGGTATAATGAGAAAGGGAACCAACCACTTGGTGAAGGTCTTCTGTTGCACATTAATCCACTGCTTTTCAACAGTCAACATGATGGATGGCGAGGGTGGTTGAGAACATCCAGGGCGGGCGGGGAGAAATTGGGCGATTGAAGCACGGACTGAGGGAGCGTTTGCGGTCTATCTGGAGGCTGGTATCCAGTGAGTTAATGGATGGAGCCGACGGAGACCGGACTTGAATAGAAAAGGCAGGATCTTCAGGACGGAGGTGACTAGAACGAGTGGGAAGGGGTGGGCTGCGATTCGCCGGTTTCAAAGAGATCGAATCGCCTAGATAGATAGTCGGCGGTTGGGCGCAGAGTTGAAAGAAAGAACTAAGCAGAATGAATAATCATCGAGTAGGAAACTAGGAAATTTAGTTGATTAATTTGCTAGTTGGAGCCTGGAGCGTGAGGGAGACTACTAGTTAGTAGCCTTGCCTTAGTACAGTTAAGCACTTAAACAGAGGCCCCATTCATTGCTTTTAAAGGGGCTCTCACTCACTCCCTCTGTGTCTCTGTCCCTCCCGTGCAGTGGAAAAGGGCCTGTCAACAAACTTCCACCCCCACAGCAACCGCCGCTGGTCCTGCCCGGTCGGCTGCTGCCGGTAGGTTCAGATCCCATCCCCCCGTCCAGTCGTTCATTTCATTCATTCATTCATTCATTCATCATCCATTCTCCATTCTTCAGCCACGCAGTCTTCTCTCATCGGAGAATTTCTAAAAGTAAATTCGCCCCATTCTCTCGCATTGCTTGCCCAAGAATCATCATCTAGCGTCGATTTATGTCCGTCCAAATCCCGTAATGAGAATTCTTTCATATCAATTGTTGACCCGGTTTCTGTTTATAGTACAGTCCTAATAGTACTAGTAGTAGTTCAGGGGAAGGATGGCGCTTAATGACCATTCAGAGTCGAGAGAAGCACCGTAGCACTCAAATTTTCCCGCATGGGCATCCATCCACTATGACTCTGCAGGCGTTTGTCTTCTTTCAGTCCTGCTTCAATGGTTCCGAAGAAGGATTGCCCAACCAGGGGATATGCAGGTGAGACGGGCTTCAAGTGCTGTCTGACTCGTAGACTTTCTTGCGATATGAATAGCACGGCTTTGGAGGATGATCCATGTTCAATTTTCCGAAGCGACGCTGATCAAATTCTTGAGTGACCCACCAGCCTGACTTCAATCCACCAATGTCGATGGAACTGCAAGACGATTGAGGGGTTACTAGTTTCTCAGGTTGTCGCCCAACCTGAAGGCGTGATCATTGCCGGCTATGGATGGATGTCTAGTTCGTCTTCCTCTGCCGGAGGCATATCCACGATTCGGAGCATGATGTTTTGCTGGCTGTATGGTTGCACAAAGACAACCCCAGTAAAACAGGTCTCAAAATGCCGGGATAAACATGGAGGGCACACGCGAAAAAGTACCGTGGTAGAAACCTGCATTTTACCTTTCCCGATGCAAGGGCGAGGATACCAGTTGCCCCATTATTTTAGCCATCTTTCCAGCCTGAACAACAAGCTCCCTATCCGTGCGGGGGCGCAAAGACCGAATGTCTCGCCAGAGTGAGAATTGATGTAATTGTCTCAATTCATCCAAGTATGCTGCATCCATCACAGTATGTAGTTCCTGCTATACTTATTAGTATACGAAGATCAAAACAGATGAGGCCGGAGACACAAGCGGCAAA